GCATGCAGTTTGACCTCTCGGGAAAAATCACACACACGAAAAGTTGTGGAATGACTGAAAATGGCCTCAAGGGATTAGATGACGTATAAGGAAAGAATAGCTTTTGTCACATCAAATATGTGTTGGGATTTTTTATCATCACCGCAATTTTGTACAAATTTATTGTTATTGTTTACTGGATGATCAATCTCTTCCGCAATTGCGAGAAGGAATAAGTAGAGGTAGTTGCTGTGAAAGATGAAGATAATGACACTCTTTGGTAAATAGGCATCTTGTGTGAATCTCCTCTCTGGGTGTCTTTCGGGGCAGTTGTTGGGGGAAAAGAAATGCAATCGCCGAACAACAGTGATCGAGCGAGAGAGATGGAATAATGATGAAGAAAAAAAAAGTCAGCAACAAAAGGCGAAGAATGGCATACACGATTTAATGATGGTGAATTGGAGAGAAATGCTGGGTAATTTGCAGTGAAAAAGATCACCTTTGAGCTAAGAAAGTCATTTTCTGCACATGCAAAAATATCTATGATTTCGAAGGGGAGAAGAATGCACGAAAAGTGGTGGGAAAAAATCACGACAAATACCAAATTCATGCATTTTCAGGAGACTTTTATATGCTGCCTTTCCTTGTTGTTCACTTGAATGTGTATTTAAGACAGAGAGAGAGAGAGAGAGAAAGAAAAAAGCTCCAACTCTTTCTTCTAGTGGATGTTCAGACTATGTGAAATTTGCAATTTTGATGAGAATAATTGACACGATGCACGCTGAATGCTACCTTTTCCGGGGAAAAATTATCGCTCCATTGCATCATATGGCAGAGAAAAAACGGCTCTCACAGTCACACAAAATTTATCCAAATGCTCTTCTGTGCCTTCCTCTATCACGCGTGGATTACATTGTTTCAGACAATTTTTGCATGTGGAATTTCACGTATGAGAAGCATCTATTAATAGACGGTACACCAGGCGCCCATTAGACATGTAATTTATTGATGTATGAAGAAATATTGTACCCTTGGCGGAAAAATTTCTGAACTGGTTCTTTAGTCTCACGTTGTGCCCCGCGCGCAATTCAGTTTGTCCACTCTTGCAATACAAGAATGCCGTCGAGAGAGAAGCTCTTGGCATTAAACGCTCCACGGCTGGCCAAAAATGGCTTTAATCCAGATGAAAGATGGATTGCATAAGAAAGAGAGAGAGAGAAAGAAAAACCACACAAGTCAAATATCAATCAATTTTCTCACAATTGAAACGAAAGCACATTGTTAAAGACCTCTCTTGCATTAACTCTCCTCAAGCTGAATGGCAATTCAATATACTAATCCATTGGATATTTCAATTAAAAACTGGATCACATATTCGAAATATTTGAATAACGAGTCTGTAGATCAAAAATATGAAGTGATAAAATTGACTATTGACAGATAATTACTTGCACAACATTCTTCATTCACAAGAGAGTCGATTTTGAGAGCATTTTGCAGAATTCTACCCACTCTTTTGCTAGCATTCTTAACCTCTGACTTTGACGAAGGATGGCCAAGATTTCAGTGCAATTGTTATGTGATTCCCCATAAATTGTTTCAAGTCAAGTTTTATATTGTGAAATTGTGGCGTTTGGAGAAAAAGCAAAGAAAAGTCGATGGAGGGAAAAATAGAGAGCAACAAGTCATTTCGAAAATACAAAAACAAACAATTTGCAATCGATAAATGGTGAATTTCCTGGAAGAAAACACGAGATCTCACATATTTCGTAAAAGAAAAATTTCTCAAGATAGGCATTTTTCTCTCTCTCTCTCTCTTCACTGCCTAGGGTGAATTTTTCCGGGAAAACCTCTAATCTTACATTTGCTACGCATGATTGCAGATGAAAACCATCGTGTTTGTTACACAATTTATGGCTATTTATTTATCGAATAGATTGTTATACTATAGTAATTATCATGTGTATGCAGATGGATTAAATCAAATAATAATAATAATAATATGCAAATAAAATTTAATGCAAGATTAATTTTTTTGAATAATTTATTTGATGAGAAAATTCACTAAAAACTCTTCCATCATTCACCATAATTTATGACTAGATTGAATTACTATCGTCTTTGCGGCGTTTGGTCACAGAAAATATGCTGGAAATTGTTTGAAGTTGTGCAACTTAAATCGTATAAATATTTTCCTCTGTGTTCTGCATCAATGCCATGTATTTTGAAGATTATTCAGCACAGCTGGTGAAAGATCTCATTACTGTAATCTGCTTAAGACGTTCATCTGCACACACAATTCCTTTTTGTAATTAATTTTTGAAATTAACACACCGGAGATTGAGGTAAATCCGCAAAGCGCAATTTCGTTTTTCCAATTCTTCTCACTGTCATTTGGAAATTCATATGTATTTTGTGAAATTGTCCGTCAACAAACAAATCATCGAGAGGATGAGAGAGAGAGACACTTTCGAGGTAATCCCATCGTCATCTTCGTGCTCAAGAGTGCCGCGCGTGGTCAGTTTTTGCCACGAATCTCATGATCAATTCTCACCGTGCTTTGGCGCAATTGCATTATTTTGTCAATTTGCTCGCAGGAAATTCTGTTGAACAAACAAGACGACAAATAATAATAAAATCCATTTGCAATTCTTTTCGAAGCATTGAGCACATACTTTGTTGGCATTCCTAAAAGGAGCAACCGCGCACAGAGACACATTGGCAATAATAGCCATCTAATGTGTGTATGTAAAGTAAAACGTGTGGATGATTTTGCAACATTGAAGCGGCCAATAGTACACAGAAATCACGTTCATATAGCTTGCCGAGACATAATGATGCTTGGCTAGTTGAGGAGGGAAAAAAGCTTAAAATTTATCTTATAATGTTCTCGTTATGCAGCAACAGAAAATATTTCAACATTTTAATATACAACATCCTCTAAGATAAATTTCCAACTCTTTCACAGCGCCGGGGACTTTTCCAATTGGGGGGTTGACAAGTTTTTGTTGAAAGTGTTGTGCTGAGATATTTCGGTTTGGAAAATGCATCACATTTGCAATTGAGAAAACTGGTTGTATTTCTGCCAATTTATTGTCCAGAAGCCAAGATGATTTTCAACACAATTCACGTGAAGATCTTCTTGGAGTTTTCGGTTGATTTGTTGATGGAAAAATCAAGGAAATGTGCATTAAATTGATAACTTGTTAACCTCTTTGATGAATTTTTCTCCGTGCTTTTCAGTGCAACTTATTATCGCAAGAATACAAGTGCCATTCATTAGGGCATCTCACGGCTATACTCTGATGGAAAACTTGAGTATGTGCGCGCACTCAAGACAAAAATTCCACAAGAGAAATTGTCAGATGCATTAATAAATATTCTAAACTTCCTGTTGCACTTTTTACAGAGTCAATGTTTTGCCTTTTTTCTTTCGTTAAGCGCAAAGAGCTACTTAGGCTATTTGGTGTTTGTTTTTCCTCTTCTTTCCTTTATTCATTAATTAGTAATTAAATTTTATACCATATTTCGCAATCACACGCCTGTATTGATAGTTCTTTTCGTTTCTTATTACACCTCAACAATATAAATTAGGAGAAAATTTATTGCTGTACGATTGAGTTATCAAATTCGATATTTGTGTAAAGTTTTCACTGTGGCAAATGCCTCGAATCACATCGAATGAAAGTCTTCCACAGATATTAATTATGGACTTTTTAGTATTAATAAAATACCATGCACTATATGCATTTAATGAGATGCGCGCTTTATGTTTGACCATTGAGTGCATTTGATGCATTTCCATCTCTTTTCTCTCTTCGCCTTCGTGTTGCTCATCGCGATGCAGTGAAATGATGGTATCTTTGCGCAAAAGATCTCCTTGCATTTCTTTCTTTCTTCATTATTATTTTTTTTTTACTATTATTGCGCCTTCTCTGGTTGAGATTATTATTACAGATATCAAATCTCAAGAATGCCTTTTGAGTGAGGGCAAAGAGAGGTGAAAATTTATGGCAATGCTGGTCTGTCCAATTGCCAACTAAAAAGAAGTTTTTTAAATAAATTTCTCAATGCGAAAAGAGCTGCTGTAATGATTAATTGAGCAAATGAACTTTGTGCGCTTACGCCGTCTGATTCAATAAAACTTTTCACTCTATGAAATGTAAATGACATTTTTCTGTATAGTGTATTGGCAATAAGGAAATCATTAAATTTACCGCATTATTTAATACCCTCTCTTGGATATTGGTTTGGTGTGTATTTGCGCGCGCCCCGAATAGAAAAATCCACGTAAAGTGAGCACACAAAAATAACGCTAGAGACAAATTAAATTACGCTCAAATTAAGCTTGACTGGAAAATCTACTTCGGGATAAGGCGGAGATACTTTTTATATTTCGTATATTAACCACTCTTTCTCCTCTCTTAATCATTACACTCGACTGTGTTTCCCAATGTTTGCATACCTTTTTTGCACTCCGAGAGTTTCTTGACTTTGAGTGTTGGGGAAAAAATCTGCACAATTTCCTTATATTTTTTTCACTGTCGTTGCGCTTGTTCTGCAGAGAAAAGAAAGAGAGAGAGAGAGACGCTGATGTTGTGGTCAAGTGTCCAAGAAAGTAAAAATATAAAGCTTGCATGTTTGGAACAAAATGTTGGAGTGAAAACGCAAAGATTTCCGAATGAGGAAAAATGTGTGTGTGTGCATAAAAAAAAGTGTCTTTAATGGAGCGAAATGTGTTATTTTACAATGACAGATTTTTAATTCAATTTGCACCTCTTTTGTTGCAAAATCTCTGTTTCTTGGTGATTGTTTTCTTGTCCGTTTGGCGACCTTCTGGGCAAACAGTGCCTGAAGCTTTAATATGATAGACCCCTTACAAAAAGAAAATTGCCGGCTTGGCCATGTTTGAAGAGTGAACTTTGCAATTTTATCGTCATTAATTTGATGTGGTCTCGTGATAGAGACGCTTATAAAATTTTTCTTCATGGCTTTTCTCTTTCTGGCCTTTTTTTCTGCAGACTCTCAACCGTCCACGTTTTGCGCTGGCAATAGTTTGTGGCACGTTGGCGAAATGAGGAGGCAGCGCGGCGTTTCGAGATAGAATCGTGTGCACTGTTGTGTCAAATGGGATGTGCGACGACAATGGAGGAGGATTTCGCGAAGATGGACGTGATGAAAGTGTCTGAGGAGGATTTGAGGCGACGGAAGAGGGACAGAGAGAGGATGAGTGAGGAGTTTCGACATTTTCTCCAGGAGAATCTCAAAAAATCATCATCTCATGATGACAATAAATCACAAATAGAATGTGAACAGTCGCAGCAGAAAGTGGTGAATTCATTAAATGTAGCAGAAGTTGTAAGAAACTTGAATGAATCACCAAGGTCTCCACTTCGTCTTTCACCTCACGATGGCGACGGGATGAAGGCACAGCATGGGATTTCATCATCGGTGATGAGCATTAGAGAATCACCGACGAAGATGGTGAAGCAGACACCGCCGCATGGCGGGAGGACAGCTGATGAGGAGCCGACGACATCGGCGTGCAAGAAGGTGAGGAGTTATGATCCAATCGAGACGCGGAGGTATATGCGTTGTCAGCAGAAGAAGCGCCAAGTGGAGCTGAGGAAGATGCTGACGGTGGATCAGGAGCGCAAGCAGGAGATCCAGAAGCGTCTCGCGGAGCTGCAGGAGAGCACACGGCGCATCCTGGGCAAGAGTGTGAGGCAGAAATGTGTGGTGGGAAAGGTGGACAAGAGCTCGACGGGAAGTCAGAAAGTTGCTGTCCAAGATGCAATAAAAGGCAGCATCAAGAAGCCTCCGCGCACAAGTGGCACTGAAAGTATGGATGGAGGGAACTTTCATCGTGTGAGCATTGCTGGAGCGCCTAAAGTGCCTCGAGGTGTGAACACAAATGCTGTGGATAAGAATCTGGTCAGTGACAGAAATAAATCCAACAAATTTGAGGATAAATCAAGTCGGATGAAAAGTCCACAACAGAGAATTAATGTGAGTGCCAAGAGGCCTCCGGAGGAGAAGCTTGAGGTGCCGTCACACCTCAGCCTGTCACCGTCACGCGGGGACAAGAGCAGCTCCCGAGGAGTCGTCCCGCATTGGCTGCGACCCACATCTGTTAACGCACATCCCTACAACTTCATCACGGCTGTGCGGGAGAAGCTGGACGCCATCTCGCACGTCCAGCCTCTGGAGAAAGCGCCAAATGTCCAGGGAAAGAGCAGCATTGCTCAGAAGGACTTCATGATGACGACTGTGTCGAAGGGTGACAAGTGGACGGACCTCAATCGCTGGTCTGTGCAGCAGGAGCACAATGCAAAGAGAGGAAGGAGTGTCTCGCAATCCCTGGACACGCCGCTCAAGCCGTCAGGAGTGAAGAAGAAGTCAGAGACACAGAAGAGTGTCTCCGAGGGTTTGCTCACGCATCTCTCTTCGGTGTCCCTCCACGTGCCGGAGTCCAACACAATCTCAGACATCAGCAGCATTCAATCTGAGATTTTCCCCTCGAGCATCCGCCTCAGTGGCAGAAAGAACGCCGTGAGTTGTGGTGAAAGAGCTTCCGTGTCGGATGGCGGAAAATCTCCGGAGGCCCGCATGAGTGTGGCGACGGTGGCGAGTGGATCAGTGAAGGGAGTGGTGGTGACTGGTGAGTGTATTGCTCCCGTCGCTGCACGAGACAATAATCAATTGAGTCCACTGTCCACGGAGTTGGTTAATACAATGAGGATTATGTCACCGCGAGGGAAAAGAGAGGAAAAGGTGGCGATTGCGAAAGAGATCAGTGACGATGATGGGAACAATGATGGGGGTGGTGGGAAAATGGGTGAATTCAGAAGTCTATCGAGTGATAAATTCCAACCTCTTGACACATCGGCCAATAAAGTGGAAATCCACGAGGGGAATCTCACGGATTTACTCGAGGCATTCAACCGGAGTCTCACTCAAGTCATTCAAATGAATCAGGTAAGCTGCCTTTTTCTTCCCACCCACACAGTGAGGGCAAGAAGTGCATGATCACGCAGTGTTCTTTCTTATCCACACTGTGTTTTTTATTCTTTTCTTTCTTGCATTCATGAATTGGGCACAATCAAGGGGCAGATATTATTTGTTATTATTAATAATGATATTATTATTTGCACTGCAAAAGCTTTCGATTGAACAAATTGAGACATTTTCAAGATTATTTTGCGTAGAAAAATCAATTTGATTGCTTTTTTAGGTTATGTTATTGATTTAAAACCGATTCTGGCGATTAAATAACACTCAAAATCACCTAATTTGTGTTTAAGCTGGGAATATTTTTCTTTTTCTTGGCAAAATTGAGTATTTCCGTTCGAAAAAAAACTCCAGATTCGGTGAGAGAATACTTAAAAGTCAAACATAACCTCAAAAATGTCATTTCAGTCTGTTATAAGCGCGATTTATGCTCTAAAGGTGTAAATTCAACCCTATTATCTAGTGGAAACATTGTAATATTCGCCATATTTACACATTTCCATTGCTTGAAGTATTTTTAAGCCGAATTCATAACCTCACAATTTGATCAAAAATTGTTTTTTGGCATTCTCTGAAGACTTTTGTTTATCTTAGATTGCAATAAGACTGAAATCAATAAGAAAAACAGTTGAATGAGTCTAAAAAGCGATGAAAAGTCGCTCTTGAGACATTCAGAAGCTTCTGAAGTAAACAATATTCAAGGCATATTATCTCCTCCTTGGGTAAAATCGGGTACAATACATTTTTCTTGCACTGTATGTTGTGGTGCAGACAAAAACGGCGGAAAATTTTAATTGTGATTAATTGCTTTTTCTCTCTCTCACTTCTGTTTCAATTTCTCGTAATGTGTGGAAAATTGCAGCAATTGTATTCGGCACTCAACAAGTCACCAAATAAGGCTATCGCAGTTCACAATCCTGCTGAGGCGGAGGTGAAAAGTGCTGCTGGGGAGGCAGAACAGATGCATGAGTATGAGGAGTCCTTCGAGGAGGAGGAAGAGGCCAACTCGACGGTGAAGAGCGCCGGCGGGGAAGCCCGGAAGGCGTCAGATGATGCAATTGGTGGCCAGGAGAGCGCCAGAGAGATTGACAATTCAAAAGGCGACAAGAGCGGTGAAATTGTTAATTGCAGAGCCAACAAATCGAGCGAAGAGGCCAATGGGCCCCAAGCGAGAGCCATCGAAGGCAACGTGATGGATGCCAGGGAGACAAATAGCACTATAGGCAGTGATATATTTGCCGTGTTCAATCAAACCGACATGGAAGTGTCGTACATTTCATCTGGCGGCGATGAAGCCAGAGAAACTTCGATTACTTACTCAAATATTGGTCTCGTGAGTATTTTTGCCTCTATAAACTTCCTAATCACTCAATTGAGCACTCCTTTTTGGTAATTTGTTGTCTTCTTTCTCTCCGATCAGTTTGAGCAGATGATCAAGACGGAGAAGATGAAGGGCGATCGATTGTTTAAGATGATTCGAACGCGTGAGAAGGCATTGATTGATCGCACAAGAGGACAAATTGCTTGGCTGGAGTTGCAGAAGAAGAGATTCAAGGAAAAGGGTGGAATTCTCCAGATTTCAGCCATTCGGAAGAAGCAGCGAGCAATTTTGCTCAAGTTGGAGCGCGAACGTGGCGAATTGCAGCGTCAGATGCGCTCACAACCCACGTCGCCGACGAAGAAGTCGCCAAGTCACCGGGTCAGAGTGGTGGAGAAGACAATCTCCAATGTTGTGAGTCTCAGGCGATCGCCACTTCCGGCACTGGAGAATCGTGGAGCTGTGAAAGGGTTCGAGATGGCGGCAGGAACGACACTTGAGAAGTATTAATGATTTATGTCTTTCCAATGGGGATTTGTGGCTTTAATCTCTGGACTTTTCTCTTGTAGATTGCTGGAACAGAGGGAAAAGGAGCTGCAGAAGCGTCGAGAGCATGTGGAATTCCTTCTGCAGTGGCATCAGAGACTTGAGCGGGAGGAGAAGAATGTTCGTGAGATGGAGAATAAGTTGCTCAATAGTAATTTGGAGAGAATTGCTGAGAAGCAGAATCTTCAGGCTTTGACTGATGGGAATGAAGAGGAGGAAAAGAGTAGCGAAGCTATGAAGAGAGTTGAGGATATCGATAAGAGTCTCGAGATTCTGCACAATATTGTTCAAGAGAGTGGAAGTGAGGCTGATTTTGTGGCAGTTCGAGGAGCAAAGCTCAATTATCTGTGGAAGAAGCTTGTTGGGAAGGAGGAGGAGAAATTCTCACCTGAGAGTGTCATCAAGATGACTAAAGAGGATTTTTCACAACTCTACGAAGATGCGAAAATCAGAATTCTGAGAGAATTTGACGATGAGAAGAAGATACGACAGTTGATGGATGAATCTGTGGCTTCAGTCACGCGGGAATCGAATTCTCAGCATTCCACAGAAGCGGAAGAAGAGGAAGAAGAGGAGGAGAACACAGAGAAATGTGAGGAACAGCCTTTTCCAGGATACTCTACAGATGACTTTGAAACTGTTGCAGAGTCGGAAAAGGTTGTTGAAAGTGGTTTAGAAGAGGCGGAAACGAATGTAGTTAAGAGTCCGGAGGAATCATTCCAGGAAGAGTGTTCAAAAAACGATCAGACTGAGGATCAAAGTCATTCCGAAGCCACAAGAGACAGTATCAATCGTGAGGAAGCATTGATAACAGCAGAAGAATCCGTGAAGAGTGAGATGAATTTAATCAGTGAAGCTTTTTCTCCGGAGATTCTCAGTCAGGCGGAGGAGGAGCAGCTAATCAGTGAAATAACACTGCCCTCATTCAGTGACACAACAATTGCGGATGAGACGATTGTTGAGGAGGAGGCTGAAGGGCTGGAGGAGAGTGAGCAAACAGAAGATAGAAGCGACGATATTGTGGTGAATTCTGAAAATAGTCCAAATTCTCACGACGGAGACGCAGAAAATGGTCTAGATAGTGACTTATCAGCGCATTCCAAGCATGAAAATCTCGATAAGACACTCAACATATCTCAGGAGTCTCTCAACACAGCCCAAGATGTTGAGTCAGTGACCCTGGAGAGCTTCGAGGATGACGAGGGAGGCGAAGAAGTACAGTCAGAGTTGGAGAAGAGGATCATTCAAGTGGATGTGAGTTTGAAGGATTTGAGCAGCGCCATGGAGAAATCACCCATTCTGGAGGCTTTGAGTCCTCGTGAGACATCATCATCAGCATCAACAGGATCCTCAAATTCCTCCCCGGAAGCTTCTGTGCAATCCGGCGAGGAATCTCGCGCCTCAACGTCGAGTGAGAGATTGGAAAGTGTGGCAAATGGTGAGGATAATTCATCTCAGGAGAGCTCAAGTCGCTTCATTCAGGAGAATTATGCGGAAGTTTATCCTAAATCACCAGATGATTCTCAGGGCAGTGGAAGTTTCTCACAGCAGAAGATCAGAGACTACAAGATTCCCAATAGAATGCCGGATATTATCAGCGAAGCTGAACTCCTGCGACGGCAGCAAATGCAGATTGAGCAGGAGATTAAGCAACTGGAGCAATCAGTTCCGGCAGTCTTTCTCAGGGAAATCCCCAACAAACCACCGCCACCGTATGTGCCTCCTGCCCAAGACAGTCCCTTGGCCACGATCTTTCCCTCCGAAGACAGAGTGATGGAATTGGTGAATGATCGCACGAAGGAATTGTACTTCAGCGTCAACTCAGGTGAGAATCGCATCTTCACTGCCAAAAGGCTTCAAGGAAACTGATTAAATGTGTGCTTTTCAGGGAAAGCAATTGCCGAATCTGCGTCTGACTGCTCCAGCATCACGAATGTCTACGAGAAGATCGTCGTGGGCATGTGTGAAGAGATCTTTGGGGACATCAATGAGACTCTGGACACACAATATGATGCGCCTTTTCAGCGCGTGCGTCTGTATCGCAACAAACTCGCCTTCTTCAACCCTCCAGATCGTCTGGCGTGTATCCAGGATCACATCCTGGAGTCCATCGCGCGAATCCTGCCCGGCCTGGGAAGCATGCCGCGGCAGACGCTGCAATTGCCGGCCAACAGTCGACGGAAGAGGGATCAAATCGATGAGATTGTGATTGAGGAGATGCTGGAGGATGACTGGAAGTGGAGTAACTTCCAGATTGAGGAGACTGAGGTCCTCGACACGATGACCGAGACGATCTTCAGCACACTCCTTGAGGATGCCATCCGGGACATCGACGTGGCGTACACGAAGAAGTTTCCTCACAATTCCTAGGACAACAACAACGATGATGATGATGTGCCTGACACTTGATGATTTTATCCGTGTGCCTGTATTCGTCCTGTTTTTTTTTGTACTTTCCCTCCAAAGCGAGGAAATCAGACATAATAATAGTGTTTTTTATGCAATTTCCCTTGAGGTTTATTTTCTGCGCTAGCACATAACCTCAAAAACACACCGCACTGTTTACTTCACTTCCTTGACCTGCAGGCCTGGCGGCAGGGATTGCTTCAGCTTCTCCGCCTTCTCCTTGTCCGTCACCACGAGCGTGTACAGGAATCGGGAGCAGCGGATCTTGAATTTGGTGTTTTGGGGATTCTTCTTGATCTTCACCGCACGGGCGTCTTTCCTGCGCGCCTTGATCAGGAAATCCTTCACCTCCTTGATTTCACGTGGCATCCTGCAATGGCAAAGGGATCAGTGCACATTCTGCTGACGATTAAAATTCACAAACTACCTGTATTAGGGCGGAAAATGGGGAATTTTCACGAAAAAGTGAAACAGAAACGTGCTGACGCTTTGACGTTTCACACGAAAGAGAGCGCTCGCCGGAAGTGGTGGAAAAATGTGGCAAACACTATTTCGGCCAGTCACCGCTAGAGGCTTGCAATCTTTCAAAGCATTCAAATGATGCTTGACAATTTCACAGAAATATGATTCTTCGGGAAAATATTCACGGGAAACTGGGAAAATATCCTTTATTTGATGCAACTTTATATTGAAAAATGTATCTACATTTCCTTACATATCATGTGAAGGGATTTTTCGCTGTCGGGAATGAATTTCTCAAGCCATTCGCGATTTTTTCGCAGCATCAGTTACAATAGCTGTGACTCTGCCAATCTGTCCAATGCACTTTTCATCGATTTGTCGATTTCCCTTCGCCGAGTCGCGTTTCGCGACGTGTGTGTGCGATTTCAGTCGTTTTCATTCAACTGATCGGAACGGAGGTGCTTCGCATTTCACCCTAGGAGTTTACCATTTTTATTTTCTTTGCGTTTTTAGTTGAATTCCATTAGACAAGCGTGGAAATTGTGACACGGAACACTTCCACAGTATTTCCAAATATAGACACCCTTCTTGTGTGTGATTTTTCTTGGTGCAAGAAGTCTGGAATAGAGAGAGAGAAAGAAAGAAGAATTCCTGCACACACAGTCTCGTGGCTCAGCAGCGCTTTTCCGCGCGAGTGCGTTTCGAGAAAAGCCCGTCGTCACTTCCTCGAAGGGCAGTGTGGCACCCGTGGCGGGGGAAATCCGCGAAAATCGGCCAGAGAGACTGCGGAAAAGGGGGCGTGTGGATTTATTTTTGAAGTGGAATCGCGCAGTGGCGGCGATTGAACTTTGTACTGCGACGTTCATGTGTGTGCGTGCGGATTTGTCAGTGGCTGAAGAGTTGTTGCTGTTCATGTGAGGTGTGAGCAGAGAGGCGATAAAGAGGTAAATTGAATTGTGCATCAAGGTACATAATAAAGTGAGTCAATTTCTGCATCTTTTCTTCAACTCTCATCATCGCGAGGACACACACTTTTCCTCCTACGTCACTGGCGCTCGCGCGACGTCACATTTGGCAACTACACACGCAGCGCGCAGTTCCACTCATTGACACCTGATGGCGACACGCATGTGTTTATTTTTCTTTCACCTGTCTCGCCATCTCGCTCACACGCACACAATCCGCCATCGTGCTGTCTCTGTTGCACTGTGAATTGTAAAAAATCATTGACCCAAATTAACCCAATTTCTGTGTATGTCAACAATAGTGTGTAAACAAACGACCACAAAAGCACTTTTCCGCGAGTAATTCGACTCTTTCCCGGCGGCTGCACATTTTTTTTTTGCCCCAGGTCAGGAATTGTGTGCAGTTGTCACTTTCCCTCATCGAAGCCGTTGGCGTTGCAAAACACTTTTCCACCCGAATATCTCCCGTCCATCCGCGTTGCTGGCTTTGCTGGCTTTGCTGCAGTTGTTTTGCAAGACATTTTGGAGGAGTGCTGAAGATTACAATCCTTGGCTTGGCGCGATTGCAGCAACTTTTCAGCTCTTTTTTTTTGCTTGATCTCTTCGCCTCTCCGAACAAAGATATAATGTGTATTTTTTTATTTGCGATATGTGAGAAACACACAATTGACGAATCAACTTTGTACAATTCAGACGCAATTTCCAGACGTGGTTTTTTTTATTGCCTTCCCCCCGTCAGAAAAGGTGGTTTTACCTGGTCAGATTGGCACGAAAGACGCGGATGAGAAGTGTTTTTTGAGAGACAGGATTAAGAGATTTGACAATGCAGCGACAAGTTGGCCTTATTTGATAAAGTATTATCTCGATGGAACTTTTCGTCACAACATCCGCAATTAATTAGCGAGAGAAATTGTGTTATCAGAAGGATTTGAGCCTATCAGAAAAACACTGAGACGATCAAATGAATCGCATTCGAATCTTATACGAAGATTTCTTCTCAACTTGAGTTGAGATTTTGTGAATTTCTGCCTCAACTGGACATTGACCATCTGTGGAATCATTCACCTTGACCACAAGTCGTTCTGGACAAACCTTGAGATGAATTTTTTAATGTTTGCGCGTTTCATGTTCGTAAGAAATTGCACTGAGAACATCATGATCTTGACATTAAATTCTGCTATTCTGTTGCTTCACAATCAAACAGAAAGTCGTGCACTTTTCGTCTTTAAAAATGTTAAAGAAAAAGTCTTTATTGTGAGATGAGAAATTTGTGATGAGAAAAGACACTAAAAGTCGTGTTTTGAGTGACACTATTAAAGTGTTAAGTGGCTTAGCTAATAAAAATATCAGCAAATTACTCTTTTTAGCCTATGAAAGGAGTTATTAATAGAATTTGTTGGCATGTTTAAACCAATTACATTTTTTATACAATATAATTAGTAAGGAATTTTATAAGAGTTCTACTTTTTTTTCAATTGCTTCGGAAGAATTTGTATAAATTTATTTAGTTATTCTCAAATTTCCCTTTTGTTTGTTATCATTTTTCCGTCTGATTTTGCGTCGAAACTTTGCTCTAATTCCACATCTTCTCAATTTGCTTCTTCTCAATTAAGAATAATTCTAATTTTAGCCTGCAATGAAAAACATACTCGTTGAATCATTTGCTCAACACTTGTGCCGCCGAAGGAGGGAAAAGTCAACTGAAAATTTAATAAATTTCATTGTTCTGTTATCACTTTATCCACTCTCTTTTTTATGTACTGCGCGACTGTCTTTTTTGCCCATCTTGTGAACTTGATGTAATCTTGGATTTTTCCAACTTGTCAGTTCACTTTGGACAGTTTTTTTTTCGGGCTTGTTTCTTATCAAAATGACCGCTTGAAGAATGTATGACTAGAGGTGGATAAAGTGCGTTCTATAAAAGTCTACCTGTGATAACGCAGTGATCGCGAATAAGGTGATTTTCTCCTCGAAAAATTCGAAATGGACTTTGACAAATAATCGCTGAGACAAGAGAGGATATTTCGTTGATTAGGCGGCGTGATAATGTGCGCTTTTTCTTGCTGTTGTGTTGAATGAGTTCGTGAAGTGTCGCTGAGAGGGGAGAAAAGATTACTCGTGTGCCCCAGAATGAGGAAGCGCAATCGAGAAATTTTTCTCTCTATCAGACAGAAGGTTACACTCGACGAGAAACGACGCTCAGTGTCTGAAATTATCGCGCGCGCGCGGAAAAGCTTTGCAATTTGCGCGCACAGCTTCAGTAAAATCTATATCACTTAAGCTCTTGTTCTAAAGGAAAGAAAGAAGAGAGAGAGAGAGAAAAAACGGGGAAAAAATTGTCAAGTTCCGGGGAAAAATTTGAGAAATTAATTCAACTTCACCGATAAATCCAACGTGTGTGTTGTTATTGAAAGCGAAACAGAAGAACTTGTTAATATGTGAAGTTTCAGAGCCTCTCTTGAGTCCGGGTTCGTGTGCAGAGTGCAAAGTCCAAAGGTGATTCTTCTTCTCTTTTCTCATTTGCTCACATGCTTCATAAATTTTTCCCCACAACGACGACGGACAAATACACACGCAAATATGACGCGAATTTATACTTATTTTTTTTCATGGGCGAAAAAGAGAGACACGGCAAAAATTCACTTCTTTCTTCATTCCTCTTCCAAGTCATTACTTCAATTTTCCTCTCTTCACACCCACAGAAGCTCTTTTATTCACACTTGAGTCACTGTAACGTTGAAGTTGTTGCTCAGACGACAAGACTTTGGTGGCAAAAGAGTAGGAATAAAACTTTCATTTCGAGCTAAATATTTGGCCTTTTGTTGTTAACCAATTGTGCTCCAAAGTGATTTTGATACTTTATTGTATTCTTTAGGCTGTTGTGAGTGCTGTAAAAAATTATGCTAATTGTGTGATTACTCAGTTTTCTTCACGTGTATTTCTTGTTTTTCTTGGCAAAGTGATTAACTTGACCTGAAGAAAACACACTAATTTGTCTCTTTTATTGATGCAATATTTTTATAGATTTTACAGTCACGTTTTTCCTCGATGTCTATGAAATTCTTTGCTTATTAAATGCTAATCTCTAAATAAAGAAAAATCAAGCTTTTACACCTTGTTTATGTAAATAATTTAATAGTTTTTAAACTGTTTTGTGATAAAGAAATTTTACATTTAATATTTGTATTGTTGTGTTTTTCCCTCCTTAATTTTACTGAATTTCTTCTCGGTGAAATGTAAACAACTTGTTGAGTAAAAATCACTCGTAATGTTCGCCACGTGATCTTGGATTGTGTGTTTGTTGTTTAGGGGGAAAAATTCAGTGTAGGAAGTGTATTTTATGTACATATTTGGTCTATTGTGTGTCTGGACGATTAAATGGGGGGAAAAAAGTATTTGCTTGCATGATTCTGATAAGGCAACTCTTGTGACAGTCTGACTGCATTTCAGTGTGGAAAATTCTGTGCGTCATTTGACTGAACGGCAAAAAAACGTGCTTCACTTCTAAATAAATGCAATTCAGTGGTTGTTTTCTTCCTTTGCCCATGTTGGAAAATAGACGCGAGCGCGCGCGCGAATTGAAGAGGGACGTTATGTAAGACAATTTTGTCTTGCAAGTGTGAGAAGAATGCTGTGGATAGACTTTGTCTCTCTGGGGGTAATAATAAATTCAAATGGACAAATTGCTTTGTCTTGCTCTCTGCAATAATACAGCGAGTGATGCGAGAAAAGAGAGTTGCGAAATAAGTCATTTCCGGCTTCAGTTACAGAATGTGTTAAAGCATGGCCAAATTCATGAAATCTGTTCCTCACGGTGGTTAAAAGGATTAGAGGGATCTTTGGGAAGAATTTCTAATGAATTTTAGTAGCAAACATGACAGAATTCGTCTTTATTATCTGAAAAATTCATATTCATGCGCTCAATTGCGCTCCAAACTGTCTTTCTAGAATAAGAGGTGCTTCTGGTTATTTCCCTGATTAATGTCCTTTCTTAAACAGCTGATAAATCTTCGTACGATCCTCTGGAGTCGTGTATTGTTCCCACCTCGTAACTTGATATTCATTTCATCAAATTTTGATGCCGAACACTTCTAAAGTTCAGATAAAATATTAAAATTTACAGAATATTTACTTATTATTTCTTTGGTTTAGTTTTCATATCATCAAGACATTAAGGATTAAATCAAATGTCTTCAAACTTGGCACGATAATTACTTATTAATGAGGGAAGATTGGTGAACAAATTCAGACATATAGCTTTACGTGGAAATACAGTTGGCCCTATTTAATTTGGAGTCACTGTATATATTTTTCCACTCGACGGGGATGGAAAAAATGTCAATGATTTGTTGTGATTTCAAGTTCTCTAGAAAAAGTGCCAATATCACTTGAGAAGATAAAAGTAAATTTTCCTACAAAACTGTTTACTTTAACTCGTCTATCAGTTTGAACTCTGTCTTTGCAATTGAGGGAGAGAGATTAGAAATGTCTTGCGTACTTTGTCGATCACCTTGAGACAGTCCAAAGCGCTCCCAAGGAATCACATGTTGCGGCATCTTTATCGCCGATACTTTGGCCGTCAAGGCAGCTCTTTTTGTCCAGTGTTTATGCGCCAAATTTCGAATGCATTCAAGTGATATTTGCGTGACAGAATTGATCTCTTTGCTGACTTATTTAATTGATCTGTTTTTTTCCTCTCTCAGTATCTCATTGCCTATGCAAGTATAATAAAACATTACAAAAGGAGTTACAAAATATCAGTGCGACCTTCGGTCTCGTGTAAAAATCGACCTTGCAAATTGATCAGCATTTTTTTACGCGTTTCTCCCTCTCTTTTTCTGTGTCTTCTCTCTGTTTTCAAATTATGCTCTTATGTGTGTATGTTATGTTATGTTCGGTGGTGGAGGAAAAAAAAGAGTGATCGTGATCTTTTTTCTTTCTTGTTGCGTCAGCGTGAAAGAAATACGAGGAAAACAGGCGAAATTGGGTGAAAAACAAGTGACATAATTTTCATAGTCAGACATTTCCTCTGTCAAAAACAGTAAAACTGTGTTTTATTGAATAAATTAGAATAACATTGGCATAAATGTTGAATATGCAAAATTGTTGACATTATGAAGAACATTCACCTGGAATTGTATTGTTTCCTTTCTTACTTCACTTTGTAAATCTTTGATTCTTCTACTTGTTCTTCTATGAAGTTGATGATATTCTATTGTGAATTTCTACTCTACGCATTTCCCTATCAGAGCACGAAAAACTGTGTGTGTTTGTGCGTGAGAAAGTGTTGGTGAGAGATAATGGAAAAACAGGCAAAGCTTATAAATAAAGTTGGAAGACACATTCTATAGAGTAGCGCGACTTCCATGGAGAGTCTTTGACCTATTTTTTCGAGTTTCTTGGACTTTGAACTTGCCAACACGTTACTTAACAAACATTCTCGCGGATTTTATCAGTGGTTTTTTGTGTGTGAGTTCTGCTCGCGTCTCAACTTGTGGTTCGGTTCATTCACTGATCATTTTTTTTTGCTCTTTCTCTCTGCTGAATTGCTGCACTTCCACCCGAGATTCAATGCAGAATTGGCACAATTCTATTCGTTAAACACAAACACACACAACACGACAAAAGAGGACGCATTAATGGCTTCTTGCAAAGCATTTTACAAATATCTAGTAATTTAATACTCGGCTGCAGTTGTGGGTTGATGAAATTGAAATAATAGCAATGAAAATGGGGGGAAGTTAATCCATTCTGTGATGTAAGCTTGGAAATTGTTTAAATAATCGCCCAATTTTTTTGGTTTTGAAATTAATAATTTTTCCTACTTCACTTTTTGTTGTTTGTTTTCTGTGAAATTGTGTCAATGTTTTTAGAAATACTAGGAAAATTTACATAAATTTTTTTTTTAATGTCATGAAGCAATTTTTCTCTACACTAATTTTTGGGCCATGTGAGAATTATATTATTATTTTTCTCTGTGTGTATTTGGTTGGTAGAAAAAAACATGGAGCAAAGTTTACCCAAAAAAAAACAGAAAAATCGAAAGCTCTCTTGCTGTGTCATTGAAGATTATTTTGACGGTAACCTTTAGACCGGTATTTACGCAAAATCAGACACAGAAATTTTTGGGGAAAATTGAATTTGGAGGATTTACAACTGTTCAATGCAAAGTTATCAGTGAGAGAAACTCTCATGTGTGAAGTAATCCGAATCACAACGCATGTGCGTGAAATGTTGTCATAAATCTCTGTGCGCACGCTTTAACGAGGGAGAGAGAATTTGATAAAAAAAAGGCTGCGCTTTGATAAAATGTAATCATTGATATCGGGGTTAACCCATTGTCAAAAAGGTGAATTTCGGCTTGAGAACAACTCTCCAAGACAATAGAAATGATTAGTCGACATCTTATCACACTTACGCGTACTTACTTTTCACCCTCAATTCACTAACGCGTGCTCAAAGTCCATCGGAAGATTGTCAAACAGATGTGCGTTTTTGCGTTATCACAAGCAGTAAATTCTCATGATAAGACATTGATTTGACGTAGAAATCTTGAAATCAGACTATATTTATATTTTCCTATCTTGCAATGATTAACATTTTCTTCCTTCTTTCTCTGTGTGTGTGTGTGTTTTTAATGGGTTAAGAAAGTAACATTTTTCTCTCTCTCTCTTTTGCAGAACACTTCATTTTATCATTTGCCTTCCCGCATTTCAATCCGGGAGGTTTTGTTGGCCAACGAGTGACAAGTGAAAGAGAGTTAGAAAGATTTTTAGTGTTTTGAAACTCAGTGATTAACACCAGCAAGAATGGCGGAAGCACATTCGGCCGTTGCCTTTTCCTTCTCCATCACTCACGAGGGCTTCGACATCAACTATGACCAGGAGGTGTTGAATCTCGTCTGGCAATCTGGTGTGCGATCGTGGAAGAAGAGAATTGCGAGATTTCGCGTGAGTGAATTGTTGCTAAGCAGACAATTTGGTCAAAAATCTAATTTTCTCTCTCTCTTGATTTTTCCTTTGCAGAATGGCTTGCGAAATGGAATTTATCCGGCACATTTGCAGAGTCTGTGGCTGGTCATAGCCATTGCCGTGGCGTTGCATTTCTCTGGCAAACGAGTTCCGTTTGATATGGTGAACAACATTAGGCCAATATTGCCGGGTGATTCTGCTGTGTGGCAATTAGTGGCCTGCAGTCTCACTGGCCTGGTGTTTTGGCTCTCAATTTGCTACACCATGAGATACTCACTCAAGTTATTGCTCATGTACAAAGGATGGATGTATGAGGCACGCGGCAAGGGGAAATCCGTGTCTGCAAAGGTAAAATTCCCCATCTTTCAAACACTCTCTAATTGAATAGGGAAAAATTGATATTGATTGCTAATTAATCATTGGTTATCGTTGCTCATGATGTTAGTGATTAATGGAAGCATTGTTGGCAATGTTTTCTGTGATAGTGCAATCAGAGACTTATGAAAGAATTAGAGAATCAAGTGAAGATAAAAGAATTTGCTAAACTTGACTAACATTTTGAATTCTTCTCTGTTCTACAATGTAGTTTAAAAAAAAACTACTTTCACAGTAAATAAACAGAAAATATCGTCACACAAAATTCCCAAGAGCACACAAAACAATTGAAGATATATTTTTGGTGTCTAAATGTCCCTCGCAGACTGTTTGTTGTGGCGATTTTGTGCAAGAGAGACATAATTGGATGAAAAAACAAGTTTCACAAACACCACAAAGTGCATATTTCCAAATATTCAAGCCACACAAAGTCACATTTTCAACTTCACACATGGCTTAATGCCTCAATTTGGGTCTAATTTTGGTTGAATTTGTTGCTGTTTCAGACCAAATTGTGGGCAGCGATCGTGAAGGTGCTGTCAACGTGGAACAAGCCGGGCTTGTACAGCTTCCAGGGATCCCTGCCGCGCCTGCCATTGCCTTCGGTGCACGACACCATGACACGGTACCTGAGATCCGTTCGTCCGCTGCTGGATGATGACAACTACAGCCGGATGACGCAGCTGGCGAAGGAGTTTGAGAGTGGAATTGGACGGAAGCTGCAGCGCTACTTGACGCTGAAGAGCTGGTGGAGCACAAACTACGTGTCGGATTGGTGGGAGGAGTATGTTTATCTGCGTGGACGCAGTGGTTTGATGGTGAACAGCAATTTCTACGGCATTGATGCCATTTTCACGAATTTAACCACGAATCAGGCTGCTCGGGCGGCCAATATCACGCATCTGCTGCTCAATTTTAGACGCATCGTTGAGCGACAGGAGCTGGAGCCGATCCTCGTGCAGGGTCTCGTGCCGCTGTGCTCGTGGCAGTACGAGAGGATCTTCAACACTGTGCGTGTGCCGGGAATTGAGACGGATAAGATTGTTCACTATCAGGACTCCAATCATATTGTTGTTCTGCACAAGGGATGCTATCACAAAGTCATCATTTACCATCGTGGACGATTGCTCAGACCTTGTGAGATTCAAATGTAAGGAAAAGTGTGCCAGAAAATGTCTCTTTATTGTGTGATAATTGATTTTTCTTCTCTTCTGCTGTGCAGACAAATGGAGCAGATCCTGAAGAGCGACTGCACGCCATCGCCTGGTGAGGAATTGTTGGCTTCACTCACGGCTGGAGATCGTACAAAGTGGGCTGAAGTGCGCTTGAGTCAATTCTCAAAGGGTGTCAATAAGCAGTCGCTGTACATCATCGAGAGTGCCGCTTTCATTGTGGCTCTCGATGATCAAGACTATGAGTTTGATGTGAAGAATCCTGCTAAATTGGATCACTATGGAAGGACACTTTTGCACGGAAATGGTCACGATCGGTGGTTCGATAAGAGTTTCAATGTTTGCGTTGGGAGGAATGGAAGGGTGAGTTTCTGTTGATGTGCAAAAGAATTATTGCTTAAATTAATCTTCGCTGTCTTTTTGCACAAGGTTGGCTTTAATGCTGAACACACGTGGTAAGTATAAATGTGGAATTATGAGCAAAAAGGAGTCATTTTAACCCCATCATTCTCTCTCTCTTTTTCCATATATTAATAATACATTTTGAAACATTTTGCTCATTATCATCATTTCATGATTTTTCTCATTGTTTTTCTCGTCTTTTTCTCTTTCTATTACATTTAACATATTTAAAGCAATGTGTTGGATTGCTTTATGTCATCAAATTCTGTGTTATCATTATTTGCCATATTTTTCTTTGGAGAACAAATATTTTCTCATCTCTTCAACAGCAAGAATAATTTTCTTTTACATTTCTTATTATTTTCTTCCTTCATCATTCTTTTTTAGTTAGTTTCTGTTGAAAGGAAATTTGAATTTATATTTTATACAATATTTCAGGCTCATTTTTCTTTTAATGATCTTTGTTCTCTTTATCTCTCTTTTTTTTCTTCTTTCTATGTGTCTTTGTCTCACAAAAAAATATATGCATTTGCAAAAATGAAAATGTGTAAAAAAAATATACAAATTGATACGAATACAGGGCGGATGCTGCTGTTCTGTCACACATGTGGGAACATTACATTGTGGAGGAAAAATTATCGAATCGGTAAATGAAATTGAAATTCTACCCCAAAAAAAAACATTCAATTATAATGCAATGTTAGAATGTATTTTTTAATTGGCGATTGAAGCATTGGTTTTTCTTTTGAATTTATGATTTTGGAATGATGTTTTGAAGATTACTTTGACTTTATTCACTGCAAATTGTGTAAGAATTGAATGAATATTTTTGATAAAACTATTCTTTAACAGTGAAAATTGTCAATATTTTCTTCATTACTTTATTCAACTGTAAATATTGTAGTATTTTTCTTTCTCTTAATCTGTAGCTCTTTGTAGAATTCTTGATTGACAATCTTTCTGTAGAATTTTTTTTATAGATTTCTTGAATGTGTAATCTTTCAACAGTGGTGAATGTAATTATTTCTCTTATTAGTTCTGTTCTTTGTTCAAATGGTGAAGGTTTCAAAGTTATTTGTTACATGCAAATGCTTCTTATATCGCAAATCCTTTCTCCATCTTGGTGGAGGTTTTTTCCCCTTTTCTTTTCCCCTTTATCAAGACAAGAAAAACACACACACACAAAAAACATACTCAATTCACATTTTATCACTAAATCAAACATCACAGACACTAAAAAGACATTTTTAATGAAAAAAAACACACTTTAAAGACAACAAATCACAATTTTATACAATATTTTCTCTCTCCATATTTCTCTTTATCATTTCTTATGATTTCTTTTCTTTCTTTTTAATCTGTATTTGATGTTGAAGGGCTGATGCTCCTATTAAGGGTCATGTTTGGGAGTCTGTCGCTGGGCGCGAAATAAAACTTCGGTAATGGACTAATTATAGTTAGTTTAATCTCTTTTAAAACACCTAAAAGAATTGATAATAATAATAATAATTAAACATACATAATTATACGAGAAAAAGTGATATATGTGTATATAATTCCTGTTAGATTTTCTTTGCCACTTTGTGTTTTGACAACAATCTTTGGAATGAGCATGCAAAGTAATATATTTTTCTGTTAATGTTGTAAATTTAGAAGCGTGTTCTAATTGGAAAATGTAATTTTTTTTTAAATATTCTGTTTTGCGTAAATGATTGCTTTGTAAATAGATATTTAGTAAGCCAAAAATTAGTGCTTAATTTGTAGAGATTGATACTAAATGAAAGAGTTTGTGAAATTTTTCCTCTGCAACTCCGAAAAGACACAATTTCTAATCTTCCTGTCTTTTTCCCTCCCTCTGAACATCTGCAGATATGCCGAGGATGGAAGTTGCCTGGGAACGGCAGAATTTCAACCACCGACACCAACGAGATTGGCGTGGGACTTAAAGAATCCTGTTTGCTTAACAGCCATCGAAGAGGCGCACGAAGCGGCGCAATTAGTATTAAACGTGAGTCTCTTTTCAAGCCATTAACTCAATTAGTATTTATATATTCAAATTCTATTTGGTAGCAGATCAATTTCTGTGGTTAATCTGTAATGACAGTCAAGGACGATCAATGAACTGTTCTTAAGCGGTTCGTTGGAAAAGAAGTGTTTTTGCTTGCAAAGCACGAATAGTAATTTCAGTCAAGTTAATTTCATGTTTTAATCACAATTAAATTTATGATTAATGGATTTTGACCGAAAATTTACAGTCATGAAACCTTTATTGTGATTATTTGTGAATTTTATTTGGCAAATTCGTGTTATTGAGAATAAACCGACAATTTTTGATACATTTTATTAGGTTTTATCATCAAAGAGACTGTGAAGTAATCAATATACAAAACCCTCAAGAATTTATTGAACAATTAATGAAACAGCGTTGAAATTTTGAATTTCCATTGGGTTGTCGACTGAAGATAAGTGCGCAAATGGTAATATTACCCTTCTTTGAATGGGTATCAAAATGTTTATTGCGCATTCTTTTCGAGTAACTTTACAACACTTCTTAAAGATCTTTTCCAATGTCTTCTTCCTCTGCAGGATCTCGACCTGAAAGTGTACATGCACAATGCTTATGGGAAGGGATTCATGAAGACTTGTCGCGTGTCACCGGACGCGTATATCCAGATGGCACTGCAGCTGGCGTACTTCCGCGATGCGGGACGCTTCAGTCTCACGTACGAGGCGTCGATGACGCGTCTGTTCCGCGAGGGACGCACGGAGACTGTGCGTCCGTGCACGATTGAGTCGGCGGCGTTCGTGCGTGCCATCGATCAGAAGCCCAAGTGGAATGCCGAGGAGTGCGCCAAGTTGATGCAGAAGGCGTGCTCGCGCCACCAGCTGGCGTATCAGGACGCCATGTGTGGCAAGGGCATCGATCGCCACCTGTTCTGTCTGTACGTGGTGTCCAAGTACCTGGAGGTGGAGTCGCCCTTCCTCAAGGAGGTCCTCAGCGAGCCGTGGCGCTTGTCCACCAGCCAGACGCCTCACGGTCAGACCACAATGTTCGACTTCGCCAAGAATCCCGAATACATCAGCGCCGGCGGTGGATTTGGCCCGGTGGCCGATGATGGCTATGGCGTGTCCTACATCGTGGCTGGTGAGGACTTGATCTTCTTCCACATATCGGCGAAGAAGAGCTGCAACTTGACGGTGAGTGCAATTGTAAAAACACAAGTAGAGTTCACTGCTCTGGATTATGCGCCAAATATTGCTCTCTTATGATATTTGAGCTTGTCAGAATGGAGAAAAGGCAAAGAATTGACGCCCCTTTTCGGGCTTCTTTGCTGCTTTTATCGCTCATGTGTGGCAATTCTCATTGCCCAGGGATGCGAAGATGATCTCTGAAGTGCTGTTTGGTTAGGAATTGGCAAGTGATGAAGTTCTTGGATGTTTGAAGCGCTTGTTCGAAGCCTCAAATGAAGCAATTGCTACAAAAATCATCTTCTCAAGGCTTAAAATCTGTCCAAGAATGTAGTATATGAAGCTTGCTCATTACAAGATGGACATTCTGCTTCCTTGCTGGAGTTTCTCGATGGTCAATTGACAGCAGAAGCATCTTCAATGCAAAGAATACACATTCAGTTGGCCAATTTGCTGGTAAAATTAGGCAGTAAACCTCAATTTCATCATGAAAATGTCTTATAACTTTAATTCTTTCATTTGACAATGGCTTATCTGCTCAATTACGTCCACAATTAATAGATTTCCACGAGGTTACATGAGACATAGAGGGCAAATTCCATGTGATTGGCGCAGTGAAATAATAATTATTGAATTTATTTGCCATTTGCGTCACATTTGTTATCAAAATAGACTGTTTGATGCACTTTGCAATCAATTTGAGTGATTATTTTTGCCTTGCAGGACGCCAGTCGCTTTGCTGAGCGCATTGGTCAGGCTTTGGCGGACATCAGGAGTGTTTTTGAGGAGTACAAAAGCCTTTCGAGCAACGGAACAGCCCACAAGGCCTCCAATGGCGTTGCCAATCACAATTGAGGCGAGAGACTTGCAGAGGAAATCACACACAGAGACACACACGAAAGAGAACTTCTCCGTGGTCAGGAGAAGAGTCACAAATCATCGTTCTTTCACTTCCTCTCTTCATATTCAGTGAGAGCAGAATCGAGCGAATGGAGTGAATTTTACTTTATTTATTGAGAAAGAAAGATTAGAGAGAATTAGTTTTTAAGGGAGAGAAAGTGTGGGAAAAAATCAAATTTATTAGGCCCTTTATTTTTTTAGGAAATTCTCTATTAATGACTTTTATAGTCTAATTATTTTTTTTGTAGTGAAAGAGAAATTTTTCGGTTGTTTTCCTTTTTACACTTATTGTTTTATTTTTTGTATAATGATTTTAAAATGTTACAGATTATTGTCACTATTACTGTGCTAATTTAGGACAAGATTTATATATTAATTATTTTGAAAGAAATCGTCGTAAGGAAACTGTGAAAGTGAGAAGAAGAAGATGATTTATAAGACATTATATTGTATATGAACAAAAAGTGATGAGAAAGACACTTTCTTGTCTCATTCCAAATGCATCATAAAAAGGAGAAGAAAATTGATTAAAATCATCCACTAAAGAAAAAAAAAGTGCAGGACAATCTTCTTTTGCGAATGAAAAAAAAATGTGTCCAACGAAAAGACACCGAGAATTTAAAGAAAGAAAGAAAAAGCTGAAAAAGGGCATAAATTCTGTAAATATCTATTTAAAATAGTTGTCATTCTTTTTTTTTTGGTAGCGGAACTTCGTTGTAATATGTTTCAGTAGAATGATGAGAAAATCTGTTTCTAAATAACATCTTATTAGTTTCTAGGGCAGAAATCAATGCAAAACTCTAATACTTGATTAAACTTCAACGGAATGTGATTGAAAAACTATTGCAAATAAATTATCGAAATCTACAAAATTTACCGTGTTTGCGTGTTTCACAATTCCAGTCCACAGATGGCGCTCGAGGCGTTGTTCATTGCGAAATATTCTCCGTCTCTTAAACTTAAGAGATTGGCACAGGAGGAAAGAAAAGACAAATTATTTTATGGGTTTGTATACTATCAATCTTTATTGTTTTGCGATTTTTCTTCAATATACATAAGAACATATAATTGCGATATTTTTTCATATTATTTTTCTTCCTCCTCTCTTTTCATTTTCCTTTTTACTTTCTTCCAATAACATTATCAATGTTTGTAAACTTTCAATAAAAATTATGTCTAAAATGAATTTTAATATATAAATTGAAAGAGTTTTACTTTTCTGGTTATTATTATTATTATAAAATAATAAAAAAAAAATCCAAGATTAAATATCCATCATGTGACAAATAAAAAAAAGTGTGATTTCTTATCTTGTTGTGCTTGTCAAAGAATGAAACGGAATGAAGATGATTCTTTTTTTTTCTACTTATTTCCTCTCTTAGCACTTTCTTTTGCAGAATCCACTCAGCAAGATCATAATACTTTTCAATTTCCTCGTTCAGACTCTGCAAACATTCATCCACCCACTTTTCTCCTCTCCCTCTTTTCCCTGACCAAAAGAAAAAAAACCCTCCTTTATCGCCCCCATAAAAAATAGTCTCAGTGTCTAAAGAATGGGATGAAATAAAAAGGACACAAAGTAAATTTCCATAAAAGGAGAAATCAAATCACGGAACAATTCATAATTGCTTTGATATATATATATAATTCTTATTCTTCTCAGTTTTAAAATCTAGAGATTTATGTCAGTAACATTTCTTCTTCTTCTTTCTTTCTTGTTTTTGAACTCAGAAAAATATAGTGTGTAAAAAACTTCAGTAAGTTGGCATTTTGTAATTCATAGAAAAAAAAAATAATAATAATAATTGTAAAATGAAAGAAAAGTTAAGAATTCATGTAGTTTTTGTTTAAAAGTTACAAATAATTTTTTTTTGTTTGCCACTTTTTCAAATGATTTTTTGATTTTTTTTTCGATTTTTGGTGCCTTTTATTAATTTTTTTTACATTTTGTATGGTTTTTTCTTTGTTCTCAATTTTTACCTTCTAGATAAAGCGCTCTTTTCAGCCTACAATGTGATTATTATTTAATTATATTATTTACTACAAAAAAAAAAAAGAAATCGCAAACACATTTCTGGATTACACTTTATGTTCTTTTTTTCTTCTTTTAACCATTTCATTAAATATTTCTTATCTTCTTCTTCTTCTTCTTGTGAATAATGATGACTTTTCTGTGGATTATTTCTTACATTTTCTCCTCTGCAAAATCTCTCTATATATTGTTATTAATGTTAATCGTATGGAAAAAGTGTGGGAATTACGAAGAATATTCTTTCCTCTTGTTATTATTTAGATTCAAAAAATATTGTCGTGTTTAATTGAAAAGAAATGAAGAGACGTTGGATTGATTGTGTGACTGTTTTTTTTTCTCAATTAATGAAGAGTATAGAAAAGATGTAGAATTTACGCAGTGATAAACATGATCATCTCAATGCTGTCTGGCTGACTGACTGTTTGGCTGGCCAACTACTCCTCGTCGATGTTGTATATGAGGAAGATATTGTTCCCATCGGCAGCTTGCGGTGGCACAAGATCGGATTTCGGCGCCAATGGCTGGAAGCCGAGGAAGAGAAATGTTCGCACCAAATTGGCACGATCCTCGCGATCCTTCTGCATGCAGAGAATCACGCTGTTGCACTTGAGTTTCTCCTCCGCAAAGTCCAGCATTGAGATGAATGATTGTTTCGACGCTGCGGGCAGCAAAATTGATGGCAATGCAACATACAGGATGCTCTTGCTGCGATCAAGTATCTGTGAGTGGAAAAATACAGTAGAAAAATGTTAGATATTATCATGACAATTTGCACAATATTCCATTGAAAGATATATAATAATCAGCAGAACAACTCTTAATGAGGCTCTTAATTATAGCCAATTAATTATTATTTTCCAACTCTGTCCAACAATTCATACTCTATTATTATTAACTAATTAATTTCTGTTCTTGTAACATTTTCCTTTCACATTTTACCACAAAATGTTCATGACAAAGCTCTTTAATAAAATTAACCAGAGATTGCTAAAATAAACAAAAACCTTTGGGGAAAAATTGCAAATCCCGTGGAAAATAAAAAATCAAAACTCATGGACTGGAAAAATCATGCGAATGTCTTGTTTTTTTTTCAGCAATAGCAATGTCTCAGCAAATTGCCTCTGCGCGTGTCAGACACCAATATTTCTCACTTAATGCCTCTCTACAAGATAATAATAATAATAAATAATCAGAAAGAGTCTCAGTTGTGGCACTTGATTGAGTTGTCACACACATTGTCTCTCTCTCTCCTCTCTTGAATATTATTCACATCTTTTACTGAATTTGTGTCAATCTTCATGCTATGCAATGATTTGTTTCAACAATTACAACAATCTCACACACAAAAGAGAGAAAATATAGAGTAAAATAAATGGAACAATTCTCCAGGACAGATTGAGAATAGATTGAATAGATCCAATAAATTCAATATATATATACTTACAGTATCCCATATGCTGTAAGTATTCTCTGTCACATAGAGCTTCAGAGAGATCCTCACAGGATGCTGCTTATTCAAGATTCTCTTCAAAATATCATTGTAGTCATCATTATCATATGTTGGTGTCTCATTGTAATCAATATCTGAACACTCTGAAGAGCTTGTTGAATCAAGAGATGTTTTGCGATTGCAATCAGTTGAAAAGGACGCTTTATCGTGATCGGTTCTTGAGGTAGGTACATCAGGAGTACCTGAAAAGAATGGATAAACATCAATAACCAAACTGTCTCATATCATAGCGAAGAGAGCAAATACTCACCACAGAGGCCCTACACCGAGAGAGATGGAGTAGGACTCATGGTCCATCCCGTTCGTAGTAGAGCGCTTGCCACCGCTCTTACTACTACTACTACTAAACATTGGCTCACTGAAAAGAAGAACAGAGAAAGACAAGGAATTAGTAAACAACGTCTTTCACTCAACACAGTTGGAAAAGGAATGATTGGCTTCAATTTAATTCAACAAAATATTCTTCTTTCAAATCACATTTCAGATTGAATTTCAATAATTCAAACCTCTTTCGTGCAAAACTTTCCTCATTTCTCATTCTTCTTTCCTGCGTCACTATTGTTTTCGACAGTTGCCAAGAAGACTTCAGAGGATGTTTAGAGACTTTATTTTTTCATAAAAAACACAGTATAAAAGCTCAAACAAGTCAAGCAATTAACCCCAAAGATAGACCAAGGACTTGTGACTCATTCGCAACCCTTTCTCTCTCTGTCTTTTCAATTCTCAACAGAAATTGCATCAGCTTCCACACAAGGACACAAATCCCCCTAAAATAATGTCAAGATCGATGTTGGCTTTTCCCCCCCAATTCACCCCTTCGAACACTCATTTTTCCATGCTCTGACGTTATTATTATGTAAAATGCCACAACAAAATTCTATACTTTATGACAGAAGAAAAGAGCCAAGGAGAAAAGCAACTTTTCCGAGACGTGCATTGAAAAGAGCTTTAAAAATTTGGCTCTTCAAACTTGTCAAGTTTTTCTCTCACATAAATTTCCCTCCTTTTCTTGGTTAACGACCCTTTATTTTCTTCTGTCGTCACATAAATTTCTCATGAATATTTCATATTTACACACACAAAACACAACAAAATTGCTTCTCAACACAATTTCTCTATTGATTTCCCATCGACGCATTAAATTGTCTCTGGAATATCAATTTTTATCAGTTGATTGTTGCAACAAAGTCGGAGAAAAAATGCATTGCGAAAATTCATTTGTAATATTTAATCAACACAGCAAAAATACTCGTCATTATTCAATCATGAACCCTTAATAAAAATTTTTCACTTCATTGTTGCAAATTGGCAACTTCCTTGTTATCATCAAAGACACCCTCTAAAGCCACAGAATCTTTTTGCAGAAAGATCTAGAATATTTATTTGCCCTCAAATATTACCCAATCATCACGAATCACGCGAGTTTTCGTCATGCGCATGCGCAATTTAATTATTCTCATTTCACATTTTGATACAAAAACATTATAGCTTTATCACTTTAAAAAGTCTTAAATGATTTAAATCACAAACAATTCTAGAAATAATCTTCATCAACACTATATAATGAGTAAATTTAGAATGAAGGAAAATAAACAATAAATTCGCAACAACAAACAAACATTTCGCGTCCCAGAAAAATCACGTCCAACTGATTAAATCAAATTGTGATTAATTTGTGCAAATTGTCTCTCACTTTCATCACAAAAAAAAACCATCTTCTTTACCTCAAACAGTGACAAAATTAACCAATTAAAAGAATCTAAAATAGAATCTTGTTTTTATCTTTTTGTCCGCGAACCAGAATTTTTAGACATTCCTTCCTACTTAATAATCACATTAATACAAGAAAACAGCAATTTCTTATCCTCATAAAATATCCCCAAAGAGAAGAAATACCACACTTTTCTCGCTCGTCATTTTGCTATAAATATTAGAGTGTTTTTTTTCCTGTGACAGAAAAATATTTATTTTATGTAATAACCTTTTCCCACTTTCTCTTTTTACACAGTAGTGAAGAAGAAAAAAAAAAGATGTGAAACACACTCGCCATTAATCACATCGTGAAGACACGAGATGTGAAGGAAACCAATTTGATGATCTTGAGCAAAATCTAACTGCGTCATTTCATTTGACTTTTGCCGCACATTCACGGCAACACAAGAGACAACAAACTGCGGCTACATTATCGTAATCAGTTGAGAAGAAGAGAGATATCAAAGAGTGTTACTGATAACAATTGTGTCATGACAAATATTTACATGATAATGTGGGCAAAAATAGCTGATATATTAGCAAACTTATTTGGCTCACCGAATCACATGAACATTTTCCCAAGACTGAGACATCTTTCTTTGCTTCCTCTTCTTTAGTCTTCCGTCAAATATTTGTACAGAAATTTATATTTTTTTCAGTCTCTCAACAGAGAAGAATAATGAAAAAAAGTAGCTATTAAATTTGTTGATTAGTTGAAAAATAAGATAATTCTCTGCGATAATCACATAAAAACTTTATCACTCAATAAACACACTCTTTGGCTTGTAATCTAATAGGAAAATTTCCGCTTCTGGATTTTTGTCTTTTAACTGCTTCTCTTAAGCACCGCGTCTTGATGTTCAATTGTGGCTTATCCCGTCTGATGTCGATCAAAGACTAACTCAGCACAGCTCATCGCATCCAGGTTTTGTCTTAATTAAAATTATTCACAATTGTTATCGCCACTGCGCTCTTCTCTTTCTCTCCCGCACACACCCAATATTCCCTGCTTTCTTCTCTCTCTCTCTCCCTCTGTCTCTTCACCCTTCATTTTTTGCCAACAAAACACTATTACACAAATATTTCTCTTTATTGCCCCTTTTTCGCATATTATTACCACACATTCACACACTGAGTTTTATTCTCGGCGCAATGTTTTGCGATTTACACACGCCAAACGAAGAGACGAGAGACGAAAGATGAGTAAGAGAGAGACTTTGTTGTATTTTAAAAGACACACACTCACAACGTCATCAATGTCGGTCAGTGGCTGATGCTAATTTTCCCATCAACTTCTCTGCATGAATAAAATATCCGGGAAAATTGAGATTCATCTGAATTTACTTAAAACGTTCACTTATTCCAGCTGGTTTAGAAATATACAACCAAAAATACACAAAAAAAACCAACGAATTATTCATACTTGCAAATTGATGAACTAGAAAAATCTATAAGATTTTTTTTTTCGCTTTTACACATAGGAATTCCCCAAGTTTTTGCATAAACAGTGAAAAATCATTTACACATGACGTCAATGGAAAGGTTAAATAAAGATGTTTTTAGAGACTTTTCCGTTTATCTTCGCTCCAACCGTGAAATTGTGTGGCAAAACAAGCCAAAAGTCTCACAGATTCTAAGCCAAATGTTTTGTCTTTCAACTTCCAACATCCCTTCTTTCCTCCCCTTCTTCTTCTTCTTCTTCTTCATCCCACCAATTTCCTATGAGATATTTTCATCATTTTATATTCCAATTCAGTCGTGAGCTGAGCTTGCAATTCCCCATCAATATAAATATTTACTTGGCATAACAAGAATCTCCACTCAAGTTGAGAATCTACAAAAGTGATAGACTTGAATATAAACTGCGTCAAACCTTAATTTCATCCAAGACACATTTCTTCACATTCTTTCTATCCTGTTTACAAAGAATTTCCATGAAGGAATTTCAAGACAAATGTGTGTTTTATCTCACTTAGTCGATTCCACAACGTCTGCATTCAATTTGCGATAAATTTTAAGCACCACACAATGTAATCAATTACAAAATGTGCGTCAATTATTGATTAGATAATATTCCAAAGTATATTTCTGTGGTAAAAAAAAAACACCCTCGACAGAAGACAAAAAGAATTTTGTCTATTAATATTTGTCCATTTGAATGCCAAGTGTTAATTTTAGGCCATTGCGACAATTTCCACTTATTGCGCACAAATTTCATGAGAATTTCTCTGTACCAACGCTATTTTCTTTTTATTGCCACCAAGAATGGTATGCAATGAAAAAAAATGTGTCAACAATCAAAGTTGACGTGAGTCAGAAAGAGACTCAAAGAAAAGGTTCAATACTTGGCTTACAATTTGTTGCAACATTTGCGCAAGAGTATTTTGCAATTTCATCAAGCGTTGCTATACAATAATAATGGAAATCCATCTAGGCGATTGATGTTGAGAGCTCAAGTCTTTTAGACAGAGTAAAATGTTGATCATTTCCATTTTCAATAAGTCCAAGAAAACGAAGCAATTTCAGCAACTTCTCAACGTAATCTTGGTAATATTTTTTTCCTCAGTATTCTCTGTATCACGAACAACTCATTTAGCTGGAAGCCAAGTGTCATTGAAAGATAATTAGTCACACATGCGAACTTCTTTGTCTCTTCTCGTCAACAAACTGTGAAAATACTCTCAAAAATTGTCTATTTTTCTGTCATTCAATACCGCGTGATTCTTGTGCTGATAACACAATGGAAATCAAACTATTTCTCTGTCTATTCAATCCCTCATTCGCTCTGCACAATTCACACACACTTTCAGCTGCAATTCATCGTGGAAAATTCCACTGTGATTCTTTCTCTAGACCGACCGATTTGTTGATGTTCTCTTGTCACTCTTTCACACTCGATGAAACCCACAGAAATGCATCACTTTCTGCCGCACAGTCTCAACGGCGCGCGACACGCGGAAGGCGAGGATTATCACGGGGGAATTGATAAAATGGCATTTTTTTCATAAACTCCGCATGTCTCGATATTTCTGTACTTTGGTGTTTTTGCCAACGAATGATGTCTATTAATAGAGCTTCGAGCTTAACAATTAAAACACATTCACGCGCGCCATTATACACATCATCACTCAGAACGTCCACACAATCTCTCTTTTCTCTCTCTCGCTCTCTCTCACTGACTCAGTGAGTTGCGAGGGAGAAATATCACCATTTGTAATGGAATTAATTAGCAATTTTTCAATGGTGCACTGGGCAGAAAAATGTCGATCTCACTGACCTTTTGTTGATATTTTTTCTCCATATAAATTTTTCAAAATTTGTAGGAGGGGGAAAAGTCTGGCATGCAAATTCACTTTCTCCTCCACCTCACACAATTGCACTCATGCAAAAACTAATTATAATGGATCAAAAGGCGTCTGAAATTTGCACAATATTCCCGATGACGTCACAGGCTTTATCATCCAAAATGTGACACGGAAAAAACAGCAGAAAAAGGGGCACAAGAGTGCGAGTGGGCACGCAATATACAGCCGATAAGGAAGCTTTCCAAGAGAAAATCACACTCTCTGTCTCGCTTCCACTCATTCGGGGTGCACTGAACAAAGATGGCTCCTAAGGATTCAGACGAAATTTCACAAAAACTCCACTTTTTGCACCATTGCACACCTTTTCCGGCCACTTTCCACCACCCAGTGGCCCCAATGGTATGCCCAGCACGTGATGCAACATCACCATTGACTCCCGGAAGGGAGTTTCAGTGCGAAAAGTGAGGAAAAAGTGGGTCAGGGAAAAGTGAACAAAGAGCTCAAGGACGAAAGGATACGGCACTCCTGCTGTCTACTTACAGATTATAATCCATTATTGAAGGCATGTTGATGCTCAATTTTTGCGACTTTTCCGATTACACACTGAATTAACTGTTTATATGCCGTGTGGGGCGCACAATCATAGCTTTTCTCACTTACTGATGAGGTGATAGTGCCGTAGGTTGCTTTCAACTTTCCGCAAGATGGCGAATCGATCAATGTGGTGACGATTGCGTGCCCGGTTTCCCGAATCGAACCCGATTTCGCACCGAAATCCACCCGATGAAAAGTGCCCTCGTGTGATGCGTGGCGACGTGTCACGGGAATTGTGGGCACTGGAAGGAACTGTCAGTGCGTGAGAAAACAAAAACAAAAAGTGCGTAAATCTGTGAAAAATGTTCGGATACAATCCAACTGACTATGAGATTCGGGCTGAATTGGCGACATGCTGCAATGGGATAGCGTCTGTCTATCTCGCCAAGCACACTTCTGGCCAATTGGTGGCCATGAAGAAGTTCCGAATGGACAAGGCGAAGGAAGAAAGTGCTGCTATTCGAGTGAGTTGCTGCTTTTCCTCCTTTTTTCCTGCACTTTATCAAGTGGTTTTGGATGTTTTCCTCCACAGGATGAGATACTGATAATGCGACAGTTCAATCATCCCAACATATTGTCCTTCTTCACGGCGTTTGTGGACAATTTTGATGTTTTTGTGATCGCTCCTTTCATACCCTTCGGCTCCTGCAGGGACACAATGACGAATTCCTGCGTCACAGGTGAGCTTTGTCTACATCTTTCGGGAGTTTTCTTTGTCATCATGTTATCACTTCATCTGTTTTTTCATGTGCTGTGAAGGTTTTCCCGAAATTGTGGTTGTCCTCATCGTCAAGGACATTCTCCATGGCTTGGAGTATTTGCACAAGAAGGGCTTCATTCATCGTGCCATTCGCGCAAGTCATATCCTTCTGAGTCACGACAGGGCGGTGATAACGGGCTTCCGGCAGGCGATAAGTCTCCTGTCGCACGGTGAGCGCGTGCGAAGTCTGCACAATCTGCCCGGGAATGCCACGAAGGGGCTCAATTGGCTGGCACCTGAGCTGCTGGAGCAGAATCTGCTTGGCTACACGGAGAAGTCTGACATCTACAGCGTTGGCATTGCCACATGCGAGCTGTGCAACGGCATCGAACCCTTCGCCAACATGCCCACGACTTATATGCTCACCGAGAAGATCCGTGGCAATCAGCCCACACTCCTGGACTTCTCCACGCTGCCGTCAGAGGAGATGATTGTCCAGGGAGTGGATCCGACGGACACTTTCATGGCGCAGGCGAGGAAAATCTACAGTCAGAAGAAGTTGTCGGACAACATTCACAAATTCGCCGAAGTCTGCATGCAGAGGTGAGAGAATGAATGCAATTGTGGTGACATTGATTGCAACGATAAGGAATTGGCTGTTTTTCAGGCAACCTGGCGACAGGCCAAGCGTGTGTCAGCTCTTCAATCATCCCGTGTTCAAGCAGACCAAGCACACCACACTCAGTGAGCAATTGACCAATTTTAGCATTCAGGCTGTGGACTATTCGCGACACTGTGATGAGAATCTGAAGCTGGTGCAGGACCTCTCGGACATGAATCTCAGCACTGGGAGTGCCTTCGAGTGGGATTTCTGATACGACAACGGCGGTCCTGCCCATCGATGATCTTCCATTTTTATTTAATAAACACACACATCATAATTGGGGTAGAAATTATATCCAATAAATTCACAATTTGATAATTTATTTTTGTTATAAGTAAAAGTTAATACTTGTCCTTTTATTTCAGTTTTATAATAATAATAATATTATGGAAAGTGAATGCCTGGGGACAAAATGGGGCAAGAGGGGATTGTTGTGTGTAAATTCAAATCATCAATTTTTGAAGGATGAATACAAGGAAGTATTCGCAAAATGCATCAAAATGCTACCCATATTGGTGCTGCTGCTTCTTCAACAACTAACCACTCATGACCATTCGCACGAACTCCTCGTAATTCACATTTCCCTGGGAGTCCTCCTGATTGCTGAGCAGCTGCTCCACCTCGTCATCAGTGAGCTTCTCGCCCAGCGTCGTGAGAAGGTGTCGCAACTCCGCCGTGGAAATCAGCCCAGAAGCGTCCTTATCGAAGTGCCTCAAGCCCTCAATGAAGTCATCGGCCGTGTCAGCGGAACGCGCCTTGGAGATTGCCTGATAAATCGGCAAGAACACCTCAAAGGAGATCCTCTCGTCCGGCTTCAACTGATGCGTGCACTTCTTCACATCGGACTCCGTGGGATTCTGTCCCAGAGCCCTCAGACATTCTCCCACCTGATTCAGCTGGATCTTTCCATCGCCGCGATTGTCAAAGAGATTGAAGGCTTCCAGGAATTCTGCCAAGAAGGGAAGAAACACAAAAACCACATTAATTAACACACACACGCAACAGATTAAAATCAACTCTTTGCGACACCTTCAACGGAAGAAAAGCTATTTTTGTTTGGCGGCTCGTACATGTACATCATCTTGAGTACAATTTCTTCTTACAACACTTTCTTATCAGACTGTGAAATCCTATCAGACAATTTTCTTTTTACACTCTTCGACACTCCCGCACGCGCACACCACGATCAATTGCGATATTCTGATGGATCTCTTTGGCTTCCCTTTCCACCACACTTTGTGAGAATCCCTCACTTTGCGCGCCTTCGAGGCAACCGAGCAAAAGTTGCCAGTCGCTCGAAGCGACAAAGCTGAAGGCGAAGAAGGCAATTGCAATGCATGATTCTCAATTAGGCCAGCCCAACAGCTGCGCAAATTGATGATCAAGCAAGAAATGAGTGCAATTTGGCAATATTATGTCGGCAAAAGGTGTGTTTTGTAGCTATTTTGATTGCGCCTCTCATCGCTGATTGCGATTATGATAGCTTGTGTATTTCAAGTGAGTGTTAATCACTCGTTAATTGATTAATTCATGAGTGCATTTGAGCCGGCGATTACGCATATCGCGTAGAAAAACGTCATAGATTGAGCTCTTCACGGATTTCTTTGAGAATTCAATTGTTCGCTCATCAAAGAGCGTGGCAACAGATTTTTTCACAGCAATATGAAATTGCGTATTTGCGTAAAATGCTCTTGAGGAAATTGCCTGTCAGAAGACACTCAAAATCTGTTATTTTCGGAGTGAAGAAGTGGCTCTTCTCGCTCTTCAACACTTCGCAGAATTTCACACATTTACAATATCACGCCCTGATAGCTTGACGAGATCAGCGAGACGTTCTTCCATTTATGGCAGCTGAATTTTCGATCGATCGCGAGCAAAATATGGTGAACGAGGGCCTCACTTTGAGGTTGGCCGCCAATTGTACAATCACGATGACTATCAAAGTGTGTCAACCCAATCGTGAACGCACTCCAGAGCGTCTCCCGATCGCCCCAGTGGATCCTCCTGGGGCGCTTCAAGACATATGGGACGGCGATTGGCAAATGGTGTCAGCGCAATTCGCTGGACGCGACGACACGCACTGCAGTGCCTGACCTTATAAGGAATGTGGGACTCCAATTGGTGTGTGATCGGCTTTGACAAGTGCGGAGAAACTTGATTTGCGCTCGCTTCTCCTTGCATCTGATTCTCGGATCAACTTTCGCGTCTCCCCCCAAAAATTTCCAATAATTGCCAGGCCTCATCGCCAGTTGCAGTGATGAATTGGCTGGGCAGTGACGAGAGTCTCGTCCGGGTGAGTCATTGTGGTGTGTCAACGCGCTGAGAGAGCCGCGGATTGAGCAGCCACATCTCCGGCCAAAGGTTATTTCCACACACACACACTGACTTATCTACGGGGAGGGCATGTGGGGGCTTTATCGACTTGTGCACCCCCCGAGCGTGTGGGAAAATACGCATTTTCTTCGCGTGATAATTCACACTAACGGACTCCGTTTGGTGATGTCATCCATGAGAGAACCGCGAAGGAATTCCACCCAATTCACTCACCTGCCAACTGATCTTCCGTGTAGTTTGCCTGGAAAGAGACAAAGAAACACACAGCGATGAGTTTGACAATGCAATTGGGGGTGTTTTGGGGGTGAAATTACCATTTCTCCGGAGATTATTGTCCGACGTTGGTGATTTTCTCTTTTGTTTTCGCACGGGCGGAATGCTTTTTGGGGGCGCTGACAAGCCAACAATGGCGGAAATGTCATGCGAGAGAGGCGGAAATATCTTCACTGACGACAGCGCCCGGCGAGAAAGTGAACCTCCCATATGGCAGAGTGAGCGCAGTTTTGTGTTGTTGAGAAATTTTACTCTTTTTCGTGATCAATTGCAACATCCCAAATTACGTGTGGTGCGCGAAAGTGATTGCAAGAGGGCTGAAGATGAGCTACGCCAGTCGACATAGATATGAGGTTAGTGGTTTGGGGTGCAAATGCCACTGATAAATGGGGCTTTTTTCGCAAAACTCTGGGGGCTTTGTGTCCGCGACGATCGTTGTGTCTCACTCAGATGCACTCTGTTGCCGCTGGTGCTGTCTCTGTTGCACTCACAGTGTGTATATGATGGGAGACGAGACCAAATCGAAGACAGCTGATTCGGGGGGTGTTTATCAAACGACAACAAAGAAATTACTGAAGAACGCAATTCTCTTGGAGAAATCACACAAAACCCCGACAAAATGCCACACGAGGCGCTCCGTGGTGGCAATTGTGGGGGTCCAGAAAGTCTGAATTCTCGGGATTCTGTGGGCTTCTTCTTGCACTTCACCCACCAAAATTGCTGCGTCGTCCAGACAGAAAAATTGCCACTCTCTCGGCGGTGGGAATGCATGAAAATTTTACATGGCGATGGTGGAGGGACGACAGAAAAAGAAGACTTTTCAACCCATCCAGACGGGCAATAAGAGCATGAGAAAAGCTGTGCAGACTCCTGCAGTCGAGACGAGAGCCGGAGGAGTTGGAGAGAGAGCGAGTGTGGGTGGGATGAAAATGAATCAATGCGTTGGTATCCCTTTGTCTCGAGCATCTCATTTTGTGTCTTCCAACACTCTTGGCAATTGCGAGGACACTCATTCTGTTGTCTTGTGCAAGAGAAATTACCATTTTAATCACTCAATTAAGGAGTGAAGGAAGAAGAATAGCAATTAGCACCATTCTTCTTCCTTTTCAGACACTGTGTGTCGTCCGAATTCCGCACTTTTTGGGACGCATTTCTTCCCAGGCTCAAAGCCAGAGCAATTCGGTGGAAATGACCCGGGAAGTCCTGAATTCGAGGCTGTCACATGAAATTTTCATTGAAATTTCTACCCCAAATCTAATCTCTTGGAAATCATATTTAATTTCTTTCGAAGAGTGAAAGAGAGGGAAAATTGTGAACAATTTTCTCGTCTTTTCTCGTTTTTGGGATTTGCGTGTGTGTGTTGGGGGATTTTAGGGGTATTTTTTGGGTGATATTGACCCAAATGGAATTTCCACACGGAGGGTTGGGGCACGTGAAATGACGTCGTTTTCAATTACAACACCGAGGAGTGTCCTAAACGCGATTCACAGCCTAAAATCTGGGTTTTTTTCTGTCCGTTTTTTTGTCATGACAAAAATGGAAGGGAAAAAACAGACACTCTGCGATTTCCAAAGTGTATTGCATGATTCAAAGGAATCTGTAATTTGCTACTCAAAGATTTATATTTACAGTTTTTGAGTGAGTCAATTTTCTTCCAAGAATCATTAATATTTGGGCTTTTCTTTTCCCTCTGGTTGGTGTGTGTGTTGTTAATCCAAACATTTTCGGTGATGATTATTTTGCTTTCCTGGCAAAAGGAAAACAACAAGAGATTGCGGCCTTTCACATTGAATCACCTTACAATTAATCATATAAAATTAGGGTTGTTAAATTAATAACATCTCTCACTCTCTTTGTTGCCGTGTTATTGTATACCGAGATTCTCAAAATTCATATTATTAAATTGCGCTGGAAATTCTCCTGAATGCATCAGTGGCAAATATAGTGGTAGTTAAAAATGGGTGGAAAATAGCAAGTGTTGAAAAGTAATTCCATTAAATACTCCATCTCTCTCTCTCTCTCTCACTTTCAACAGCCAAACAATTATCCCTGAAGTTCAATTAAAAGTTTTCCAGTGGAAATTTGTGTGAACAATGATATTCCTCTGCTTGTGCATAGAACTTTTCCATGTTTTTGCATAATCTCGGCCAAAGACGTGGAATTACCTTTTTCCATTTCATAGCATTACTTGGAATTAATGCCGGTGTTGAAGGAGTGGATGAAAAAATAAGAAGTTGAGATACGTCGTTGATTGTTGATTTTTCTCCAGTGTTTCTTCGAGGGAAAAATTACACAAATGCTAAGAGAGAAAGAGAGAAAGAGTTTCTTCTGGATTTTCAGTGCAAAACATCTCAAATAGAGTCTTATAAGAGGAAGAAGAAGAAGAGATTGAATAAGAAATATGGTTTTACAAATAGTTTTTCTTTAGATATGCAAATTGTGATGCGTAACTTTCGAGACTTCACGAATGAACACATTTTGATTATACACAGAGAAAGAGAGAAAGAAAGACGATGAAACCTTTTCCCTTTTGGGTTGTATTTGATGAAATTCATGGCTTTTCCAGAAAAGTAACTCTCGTAAATCAAAGTGCAAATTGCCAATTCAGGAGGTTTTTACCTCTTTTCTCAATGTCTCAGACTTCTTCTTCACTCTTTCACAATATTGTTTCTTTATTTGTTATCACTTTTTCTGTACAATTGGGTGATTTTGTTGTTTTCTTGCAGAACTACTTCTTGGATCCCGAAGATGAAATATCAAAGAAGCTGCCCAAAGAGATTCTCTTTCGAATATTCTCCTATTTGGACGTCGTGTCGCTGTGTCGATGTGCTCAGGTGAGCAAATACTGGAATTTACTCGCTCTGGATGGTTCTAATTGGCAAAAGATTGATCTGTTTGACTTTCAACGAGATATTGAGGTGAGTGTAATTTGGGCAATTGCTGCTGCTGCTCTTCTTGATGTGGGGAGAAAATATTGACATTATGAATTCATATGTAATTTCCAGGGCCCAGTGATTGAAAATATTTCCCAAAGATGTGGCGGTTTTCTCAAGTTGCTCTCACTGAAAGGATGTCAATCGGTTGGTGATCAATCAATCCGCACTCTGGCTCAGCACTGCCACAATATAGAGTATTTGGATTTGTCTGACTGCAAGAAAATCACAGATTTGGCGATACAGTCGCTAAGCAAACATTGTCCAAAATTGTCCATAGTATATTTAGAATCATGCGTCAATATTTCCGATTGCAGTCTTAAGGCAATATCAGATGGTTGCGCGGTATGTCTTTCCAATTATTCCACCCACCGCCCATGTCAGTCACAAATTCTAATTGGCCGCAACTCTCTTCTTCTTCTTTCTCTCTTTCGCCGTTCGCAATATAGAGCCTGACGGAAATAAATATATCTTGGTGTGACTTGGTGACGGAGAACGGGGTGGAGGCCCTGGCGCGTGGATGCCACAAAATCAAGAAATTCAGCAGTAAAGGTTGTAAGCAAGTTAACGATCGTGCAGTTATTTGTCTAGCTACTTACTGCCCCAACATTGAGGTCTTAAATCTACACAGCTGTGATGTGAGTGCATTTGAATTATTCAAAATCTTATCAATATTTTATGCGCCACACATTCTTCTTTCTGTTCCTCCAATCGTAAAGAATTGCATTGTCAAGACGCGCGCTGCAGTCGCGCAGTGACAAATTTTTACACTTGAAGCGCCGCTCTTTTGGACAATAAAATGGATTTTATTGTCTTTGCGAGCTTGATATATTAAATTCGGCACTGCAGAATATATTGCAAAAGTATCTATAAAATATCGATGGGTGAATCGAAGAGCAAGAAATTTTATTTATCCACAGAGGAAGAATGTAAAAAATTAATGCTTTGCTGTGTTAAATATGAAAAGTCGATTATTTATCGTTTACGACGTACATTTTTGCTAATAAAACCGCCTATTTGATAAACAAATTAATGTTAAATTTACAGGATTTTCCTAAAATGTTCTTAGACTTTGAATCAATATAATATTTGACATATTTTTAAATTTTTTCACTCAAAAACTGTAGAGAAAAGTTCATGTAGAGTATAAAAAGTTGATTTTTTAAAACTTGTAAAGTAATATTTTCAGTTTTTCTATTAACTTTGTCATATTTTAGTCAAAATTTGCAATATTAGCACTTTAATGATGGATTTGAAGGTGTTTTGAGGTAAATTTGGGAAATTTCACAGCGATATTAATGCTAAATTTTCAACTCGCTTTGCTGAAAGTTTCATAGGTTTCGATTCACCCGTCGAATAAAGCAACAATTATGCAATGAATCAATTAATTGTAGACAAAAAAAACGATTTACGCGTGTCTGAAATATTTAAACTGGTATCAAAATGTGTGGTATTGAGTGTAAAATATTTTTATAACGTTTAATTTTTTTTGACTTGGGTATATTTTTGATAGAATATTGTGGTATTTTTGTGTCACACACAATATGCAAAAATGTAGTATTTTGATGAATTTTGTGCCTATAATTAAAACGTGTGGACACGATCATGTCGCACAAGTGGGTTTTATTTATAAACTTGATTTTATGTGTGAAATAATTAAGTCAAATTTAGAGGGAGAGAGAGACACACGACTGTGTTTTCAAGTATAAAACAGCATTGATATATTTTTGCATTCTTTATTAAAATATTTCTTTCTTTCACTCTTCTCTCAGTCTGTAACAGACAATTCGATTCAGAAGATTTCGGAAAAATGTCTCAACTTGCGTCAACTCTGCGTGTCCAAGTGTGCCCAGTTGACAGATCAGACACTCATCGCCTTAGCCCAGCACAATCCACTGCTGAACACCCTGGAGGTGGCTGGATGTCATCAGTTTACGGATCTGGGTTTCCAGGCGTTGGGCAAGAACTGCAAATATCTCGAGCGAATGGATCTCGAGGAGTGCAATCAGATAACTGACTTGACGCTGGCTCACTTGGCCACAGGATGTCCGAGTCTTGAGAAATTGGTGAGAGATTCAAAGGAATGGGAAAAGGAAGAGCGAGATTCTCACTGTGTCCTTTCTTTGCAGACTCTGTCGCACTGCGAACTGATAACCGATGATGGGATAAGGCAATTGGCAGCTGGGAGTTGCGCTGCTGAGAGTCTCTCTGTGCTGGAACTGGACAATTGTCCACTCATCACCGATGCGACACTGGATCACTTGATCTCGTGTCACAATCTGCAGAGGATAGAGCTTTATGACTGCCAGTTGATAACGAGAAGTGCAATAGGGCGGTTGAAAGTACTACAATTGATATTGATTTTTGAATATTATCACAAATTTATGTGCAGATTGTGTGTGGTTTTTGCTGAAAATGACTCACGGTGGATTTTTTTCTTTCTTTCTTTGTTTCGTAGAATCATCTGCCCAACATTAAGGTGCACGCTTACTTCGCCCCAGTGACTCCGCCACCCACCACGGGGGGACCGCGACCGAGATACTGCCGCTGTTGCGAGATTCTCTGAGATCAGGCTGTCGGCCTGGCCAGGAAGATTCTGTGCAAGGGTAGAGACGACTGATATATTCATCTGTAGAGGGAATGTGGAAGCTGAACAGGGCAAGGGGGCTGTTATCCAAGTGTCGGAGACGAAAGAGAGGAGGATTTCACGTTGTGGGAGCACAATTCGGGATGGAGATAGACAGACAGACAGAGGGAGATTGAGGAGTCTTGGAGACGAAGCTGAATGAGATTGCAACTTTCTATTGAGCACGCCATTATCATCCATTTCTTTAACACATAGGATTTTACACATTGATAAGACCTTGTGCATTTTTAAGCAAGAAAGCAAATCGATGAATGATTGCTTCTAATAATTTTAGTGAAGGGAGGAAGGAAGAGTAAGATGGTGAGCTAAGGAGGAAGTCAAATGTATTTTGACGATGAGTAGTAACATTTTTTCTTCCGTTTTTTTTTTTCTATTAACCCAATATTTTCTTATGTAATTTTCGTTGTATTTTCGCTGTTCGGATAATAATGTGAAGTATAGAAGAGAAAGAAAAAAGTGTTAGCGAAAAGAATGTGAAGTAATTGTGTTTTGAAGATGTTTTGTAAAATTGAAAGAGAGAAGAAAATTGCATGAGGATGAAGAGAATTAATGTGAGTGAAGAACAAAATTTTCAGTTTATTTATTATCATTTCTTATATGAAATACTATTTTTTTTTTTACAAATTACAACTGTAACAATTTTTGTGATTTTACTTTTGACAAGAAATGTTGGTACTATCGAGTTAAGTTTACACGTGAAATTCTGATTTGTAGATGTGATAAGTTTAAAAATCTATAATAATAATGAAGAAAAAAAAATACAAGAAATATTCTTAGTATTACTTGATAAAAGGCAGATAAAATAAAGGAAAAAAACCTATACCTAAATATTTAAGGAGTCGTGCATAAAATTATTTAACTTTGTATGATGGCTAAAATCTCGCTGGCATGAGAGAGAAAAATTCCCATTTACTTTTAGAAGAGCATCAAAATAAAAAAGTTTGATAAAATTTGGCGCAAGTGAGAGGGGCTGGAAATGTAGTGAAAAGTGTCATTTCTCTACGGTGCTAGTTGTGTTGTCTGAAGGAGGAGAAAAAAGAAGATGATTTGCAAGAGGAGTGAAAAAGAATTTTGTCGCAGAAGAAAGTTAATTTTAAGTGCTTTTTTCATGAAGGAAAAGAAGAACATATATAAAATGAAGAGAGAGAAAATTAAAGGAGGAAAACATACATTTTATGCATTGAGTATCATTCTAATGATATTTAAAAAAAAAAAAACATACTTTTTCTTAGTATTATGAATATTTGATGTTTTTTAATACGTTTGTAAATTAAAAGTGACGAAAATTCGACGGCATTCAAGTATTCGCTGGTGAAAATGTCTCTTTTTTCACAATAACACCGCGTAAGATTTTTTACTCGGATTTTTCTTTCACTAAAAATGTCGCTTTTGTACTTTGGTTGCTAAATTTGCAGTGTCTTCAATTGCTGAATGCGATTTTTCACAGTGCAATTTTTCATCTCCCTCCTTGTTTCCCATTGAATCTAGTGTGCCAGAGCGAGACAAATATAAGTGCTCTCGCCAGTACAGCTGATTCTGTCAGGGCATCACCAGTGGAGGGGAACATTTTCTCTGCACACTTTGCTGATTCGTCTGAAGAAAAATCATCAATTTTGCAGGTAAAAATCCTTGATTAGTCCCTAAAAATCTGTTCTGGACTCCTTGGGATGCTCACTGAGATCGCCAAATGCCCTGGGAAAGCCTGTCTCAAGCGATTAGGACAGTTTTTCAGCGTGAAAGTGACTTTGTGGGGAAAAGGTTGCTCAGCCCTGGTGAAAAGTCATTTTTCTGGATTCTCGCTGGCACTGCCTCGAGTCGTTTCACTGGCGAACAGATGTAATCGTGCCTCTGAAGTGAGCGAAACACTCTCAGCAGACATTCTCTGTGTGGAAACTTTTTTTTTTCAAGGGAAAAAGTGTGCAAAAGTGCAGAAAAATGTTTAAATTGTGCGAAAAAATGTACTACAGTGACTATAGTATAGCTATTGGACTTTAATAGTTGCAATTTCCACGTTCATTCGCCATTCGGATCGCAAATATCGTCAAGGTAAGCCTGAGAAGGGACCACCTTACCTCCATTGCTGTCATTAGAAAAGCACGAAAATCTCCCCCGAAAACTCATCATACTCAACATGTCTGTGGTCCTAATCACCTCTTGGTGACCTGTGATGGTGATTTGTGTCCACACAGGGTGGCTTGAGTGGTTAATTTGGGTGGAATCTGGAGAGAAATTGTCAGTGCTTGTCTTGTGTGTAGTTCCACTGACACCGTAGAGGGAGTGCTTGGTTAATGGAGTTTCGTACATTTTCCACCTATTGATTTCACACAGAGAATGAAAGCATCTCTGAAAGTCGACAAAATGTCTCTCAACTCAGTCTCTCTTTTCATACAACCAACATCTCTTCGGGGGCTTCAATCATTAGATTTAATTAATTGACGAAACGCAATCGCGCGTCTGACGGAATCTTGGCGGGGTGTTGCGAAAGTGAAACAACTTTCATCACAATTCTTCCTCGAATTTCTTCGCTCTGTCGCTCGGTGGTGCGCTCCTCTGTCCCCCATGGGGGCCCCCTTTTCCTGATGTGTGAATTTGCCCCCAAAATTCCCATACAATTCATGGCAATTGAGACGTAGATTGAAAGACTCGAGAGCGTCATTGTTTCGCGTGGTGTTCTGTTATATTCTATATTTTTCCCTCTGTGACCCAGGAAAAGAAAGAAAAGCCCCCGTTACCACTGGCTCTCGTCAGTGTGAATGTCCTGCCAAACGGGCTGAGCTCTCTGGCCAAGGAGAAAGTGAGAGAAGGAGGACTCTGGTCGAGGGGTTGTGTGTGACTCTCTCTCGTTCGCTCGTGCTCAATTTTCGATCCGAAAAGTGCGTCAGCAGACGACAAAGAACACATAATGGACTCAAAATACATAATATAAGAGGAGAACACACGAAAAGTCATACGGAGAAGAGGTGAGAAAACTCACCAGAGATCCTTCTTCTCTTGTTCTTTCTTCTCTCCCTCAAGGCGCACACATTGGATTCTCGCGAGATCCCCAGAATCTCCCCAGTTTTACTCTTGTGCACAACAGTCCACCAATGTCCGCATAAAGTCTCGCGAAAGATTTGAAACATTGCTGAAGTCAGCAATTTGGGTGTATATAATTATTGGCAAATGTCTGGATTGCAATAGCCAACAAGAGAGAGAGAGAGAGTGAGACATGATGAAAACCTTCGAAGAAGTATGTTTCTTATCCATTGTGATTCGCTTAAGAGAATGAAAAAAAAGCTGTGCAACCAATTGAGGATCTAATTTTAGCTGAGTCCGCTGAGACTGATTGAAAAGTGAAGATCAGAAGAAAGTCCCAGAGGAGTTTTTGTTGCTAATGACGGAGTTTCCGATTTTATTAGTAGTTTGCTGATGTCTTTGTTGCGCTCTTTGTTCCATCTTGGCAACCAAACCACGTTTGTCCCGCAATGAACTGATATCATTCCCCATTGAGGGGAAAAGCCCCTCGTCTCGGTAAAGATATTCATAGATGTTCCGTATTTGCTTTTAGAGAGACAGAGGCCTTATCACGGAGAAGGACAAAGAACTCTTGTCTCGTCCTTGTTCGGTTAATGTACTTATGGTTTAAGGAGTGAATTTGAATGGGAGGTAGTTTTGCATTGATTGTTGCTCTCATTTGATGCCTTCATGATGGGATTATGTTCATTTTGTTATCATGGGTTAATGAGTTTTGGCCAAAATGAGGGTTTCTTGAATATTTCAAGTGAAACCGGACATTTGAAATCTTTCACATGAGGCGAAAACCTCGTGTGTGACTCAATTCTCAACGTGTCTTGGGCGCTTTGAGGAGGCCAGAAACATGAAGAAGAAGAGGAAGAGGCTTGAGAAGAGGCAACCAAAAGTAAAACTTCATCAAACACATATTATCTCTGGGTGTCTTTTCTCGTTTGTGGGCTTTTTGTCTCTTGGGCATGAGCACAAGTCGCTTGTGCACTTTGAAATGAGGGAAGTTTTTGCAAAATTTCCCAATTGTTTCACGTGTTTTCCTCCTGGTGAGCCAAGATTTCCAATGGTTGATAAATCAACATCGCATTATCAACTGATAATATTCGCACAATGGCGTGCACGGCGGAGAATCGCGAGGTGTTCTCTGTGCTACTTTTGGAATCATCATCGCAAGTTGAAAAAAAGAAGGCCCACAAGAGTGGGAGAAAGAGAGAAAGAGCGACATTGGAGTCTGGTTTTATTCTTTTATTTTCACTTCATTTATGTTATTTTTTAGTTATTCTTCTTCAATTTCAAACGAAAGGTGCGCAATTCCCGTTAACTTATTGTAAAGCTCTCGTGGGCAATGGTGGCTTCCACGTGTGTGTTTCTGTGTGTTTTTGTCTGTTGGGCACATGGAAAAAAAAGATATGGAAAATTTTTAGGCATACTTCCTATTAGACAATCAGGTATAAAGCGAATTTGGCTTCTTTTTTTCACTCCTAGACTTATAATACCGAATCACCATTGCCGTGCTCTAACCCTTGTGCCAACCCGCGACTCGATGTGGTTCGTTGGCCTCGAACACGGTCTTTGTACACCGAAATCCCGACTGAATATGTCCAGAGAGTGAGAGAGAGAAACAGAGACGCAAAAAAGCACACATTTCGCCCAGAAGTTTCAATTGCCAAGACAAATTTAATGAATAACGAGATTCTGTGTGGGTGGGGATGAGTTCAAATGCAGATTCTCATTTTACCACGAATGGGATTGCCTCACAGGGTGGTTGGTTAGTTTGTGTCAAGGATGTCTGCATTTATTGGCTATCTTTAACCATAAATGGACCCAACCCTGATGCCAACATGTCTATTGATATGTTCCCATTTTGTGCTGTGCACAAAGTGTTTGAGAGGAACCTTTGTTGGGAAATTACGTTGTGACAATTACTAGGTTGGATTTCAGTTCTCCAATTTCAACAATAAACCCTAAAAATAGTAAATATTTGAGATATTTCTCTCCCTGCCATTACAACCAACTTTTGCGCCTTGTGGGCTGACGTCAGACACACGCGGCGTAGAGACTTTCGTAGTCTGGCAATACCACAAAAATCATCTGATTGATGGTTCTCAACATGTTTTCTCGTGCTTGAATTTCACACATTGGGAATCAATTGCGCACTTTGGACAAGCTCTCATTTAATATACAATATCTTTTTTTTTACTGGCCTTTCTGCGCTTGTCGACGATAATCTCGTCGAAATTCAAGAAGCATTAATTGCAAAGCAATGTGCGCATGAGACAATGAAAATGACACGTAGCTTTCGTAGTATGTATTTTATTTATATATTTCTTCTTAATCTCTATTTTTTTTTTATTCTTTATTCTTTTCCTCAACCCGCTTAAATATTCATCATTCATTTTTGCATTTGAGTATTGCCAAGAGAATTGCGTTCTGATGTTGATGGTGGAAGAAAAAAAAGTTGACACAAGGAGGTGGAATATTAATTTAATTTTCGCATCATCATTTTCTGTAATCCGCATATGTGTTGCTGGATTATGCGAGAGACTGTCTTGATTTTTCTCTCTGTTGCCAGTTGCCACACTATTGCGTTATTGTGGTCTTTCGGACTTGAAGGTGTGTTGATACATTATGATTTTCAAATGGGTGTAATATATGGACCTTGAAACATTAGAGGTGTGTATATAAAGAGAAGACATATATATATATTTTTTCACTTTACATATCGCACACACAACTCGTTGAGACGTCATATGTAAAGTTTCTCATTTGCCATTTTCCCTTACATTGTTTTTTTATGGCTCTCTTGCAAAAGTGCCTTTTGAATATAGTATAAGACTCTCTTATATGCGCAATCAATGGGGTTAAAACAGAGAGAGAGTGAGAGAGAGACAGAGAAAAATGTCTATAAATGTACTTGAAGGAATTGTTTGGCTGAGGCAAAGAATATTTTGGCAAATAAATCCCTTCGTGATTTTTGCTCCTTTGTCATTTTGATCTTTTATATCACTTCTCTTGGCCTTTATTTGCCTTTATTTTTTTTGCTGGTGTGTCTCACCCCTAAACGCCCTCGTCATTGCCGAGAGAAGTCAAAAAAGTATTAATTTGTGTTGTGGGAAAATTTATACACACTTTTGAAAATATATCTTCATCTTCCGCATTTCTTTATATCGTATATAGTTATTAACGGAAATCCAGTGAATGATTTTTGGTGTGAAAATTCCTTATGGTTTATTGCGTAACAACACACGATGGTGTAAAAAGAGATGTTATATGTTTGTCAGTATAGTTGAAATATTTCAGAAGTGGGATGTTATTTTTATTCCGTGTGCTGGACAATCTTCAAAATGAGGCCTTCACTTTAGTATCAGTTTTTCTGTGTTGGCACAGAGAGTGAGAGAGAAGGAATATCAGTGGGAAAATTGTGTGGTGGCGCAAAAAAAAAAGAGCAGCTGATTGTGCGAGTGATGTGTTGTAGTTTTTGAGAGTGAGATAAAGCGAGGAAAATAGGGAGATATATAGCAATGTCTGCAATTAATTAATTTGACATTTTATATAATTTTTTTCAATGTGATATTTCTGCTCACAAAAGAATATCACACACAAATACACACACGGCAAGAAAAGAGTGTGTGTTAGCATGAATTTTAGGCTTCCTAAAATGTCTCTCGAAAAGTATGTCAGAGGCAAGAGAGCATATACATAGCGAGTGGGAATGGGATGGTGAGTGGCTCAAGTTGGCTCTTCTGGTTTACTTCTCTTGGAGCCTGATTGAGAAGTCTGGTTGGGAGTGAGTGAGAAGATGATGGTGGATAAATGTTGCGTTATTGAGTTTTCTCTTTCACGTCTATTTTATGCTGCTGTATGTTTTTTTTTTTATTATAATTGACTGAGAGGAAAATATAGCTAGCGAATTGATCAATTTGATAAGAAGAAAAAAAAGTACCACCTTGAGATGGATTAATATAGAGACAAAACACACTCAAACTCTGTATGAATTTGATGAGAAATTAATCTCTGATTCTTTCTGAAATGACGTTTCATTA